TTACTCAAGTTAGGATAATTTACTCTAGAGAGTGTCTGGAACAAAATGATACCCTCAAACCTTTTTTACTAGCCGATCACCGAAATCGGAGCTGGGGACAGCACTAGTGATATTCACAAGTAGAAATACATTGTACTTACAGGGCTCTATAGGTAAAGATCTGAGAGCAGCTGGTCAATATAAACGGGTGTGTATTAACCTTAGAATGACCTCTGGAAATAGTGCAAATTCTGTTTAGAAATGATTCGCTTTTTTAACATACTGGTTTTACTCAAAATATGTTCAATTTGCTTGAAGTAATGAAATTAACATATATACTCTTATTACTCTAGCTTAAATGTACTTTAAAAGGGCTAGTAATTGTAATTCATTTTCTAAATAATCCTGGAATATTTTAAGTTCATATGTAACTTGAATAATAATAGATTTTGATGTCAATCTTTCCTGTTTGAAGCTTGAAAAATAGATTTTCATACATATTAGAGATGAAAAAGTTTCCAGTAGTTTCCTTTTCTATTTGGAACTTGTCACAATATACTAGGGGAAAGATTTTTCCAACCTTTTGATACTTTCAGAAAATACTGTTTATATCCGAGTCGGCTGAGTTAAAATATTTCAGGATTATTTAAGGTAATAATTACAACTATTGTCCCCATAATAAATCCACTATGCTAACAAATAAAGTATGACTGCATGTTAAAACTACATAAACATGTTATGTTATATTCCAATCAAAACCATGTATGAAGCGCCCTACCACACAGAAGCTAGAGTTTCGCAAAACTACATGCCTATTTTGTAAAATTCCCCACACAAGGAAACACAGATTTAATATTTTTCTCCACAATAAATTATTTTAACCTTGCTCCTAATGCTATAGAGATCCAATGACCATGATGCTCACAATTTTGTCAAACTCAGACTACATCTTCCATTTTAACTTAAAGCTGAATTATCATCACTCATGATTCCACATCAACGCAGCATTAACATGCAAAATGTCTCCACCTGCCATTTGTCAGACTCCGACTGCCAAACACTGTTACAGATGCCAAACACCACAACAAAAAACTCCTGGTGATGACATAAAATTAAAATGCAAGGAAAATGTCGAAAAAGGAAAATTCAAAATCCTTTCATGGTTGACTGCACTGGACAGATTTCATTCGTTCTTGTAAAATCTGACTTGCGCCAACTTCTCAGTGGTTATAAAGAACAAACGACAAAGAGAAAGCATTCTCGCAACAGTTGATTTTATTCACAATGGAACAATGACATTTTACTGATTAATTCTGCAATTTTCTTATTCGTATTCCATTGCATGACTGCCAATTGCCTATTCTCTCAAACATTTGCTCGACTCAGCATGTCCCAACAAGCATGTGTGATGAGCTCCCTTTCTTGTCATACCACACTAACTTTATCAATTATTCTTTGATAAGGTTCATTCAGATCAGTTGGGAGGGTTGTGAAGACCTTGGTCATCAGGTGGCCCCATAAGAGGAAATCCAGGGGGTTTAAGTTGGGTGAACATGGGGGCTACTCGACTTGGTTATTCAATGCTATGATCAGATTTCCAGAGTTCTGTCACAGCCCTTGACCTGTGAGGTGTGTCATCCGTTTGTCACCACAAATGCAGAAAATAACCATTCTCCTGTGTTAGAATCTTGGAATTAGGCCATCAGCTTCACCCCAAAATTTAGGTTATCGGTACCAAGTTAGGGGAATAAGCCTCATTGTGATTTTTGGCAAGGTAAATACCTCTAGAGTAAGAAATTATATGATAGCATTGCAGGAGTGGCAGCTTAATGGGTGTTATCTGCCATTTTTCAAAATGGCCGCCTGTGCACTTACTACCAAATAAAAGAAGTTATATCTAAGCATACTGAGAGACAAAAACAGTGATTTTGAGGTCTATTTCAGGGTTCTAGGGGTCAAGGATTTCATTTAAGTCAAAATCTAAGTCATCAAAGAATTGGAAATCCAAGATGGCCGCCAAAATGGATGTCAAAACAAATATGCCACTATTGATATAAGTTCAAAAAGCTCAAAGAACGGTTAAAAAGTGACTTTGGAGACCATGAAAGGTTTTAGAGGCTAGAGATTTTATTTGTCTCTAAATCTAAGTAATCAAAGAACTACTTTACATAGAAATCCAAAATGGCCACCAAAATGGATGTCAAAATGAATACGTAACTATTTATGTAAACTCAAAAAACGGTTGCTTTTTCAGACCATGGTGAGGTTTTAGAGGTTAAGGATTCCATTCATGTGTAAATTGAAGTGATTAAAGAATACCTTTATATAGAAATCTAAAATGGCTGCAAAAATGAATTTATAAGCACATAGAAAAATTAGAATAGTCATTTTAAAGATATCTGAGACTGGGTTTCAGGAGAAAATGGTTTCAATTTACTAGCCTTTGCCTAAGTTATCCTAACCTTTCCTCATATTAAAATCCAAAATGGTCACCAAACTGGCTGCCAAAATAAATTACCACATCCACATGGAGCATGACTCAACCATCTAACCTATTTCCTTTATTGCCATTTTGAAGTTCACAGGCTGCAGACCTAGTTCTCTCAACATGATGTTCCAAGAAGAACAGAAGAGATTGGAAGCCTCTAAAGCCTACATGCACTGGAAAGTGTCTCACCTTCCACCCTTTACACCTTACTTTGTCAATGAGGTTTCATACGCGGCACTCTTCAGTCCAATTGTGTCCTCTGTGTAATTCTAGACTTGGATTGAGTTTGTCCTTTCTTAACAGACCTACGGCCCTCGGGCAGATATATTATATTGGCCTCGAGATAATCCCAATATCCTGAACCTCATATAGGATAATCTCTATATACCAACTCCCTACATTGCTAAGGTCAATAGCTCTCATCCACTTTTCTAGTTCTCACAGATGCTGTTGTTGGGACCCATCAAAATATTTTGTCAAAATATATTCAATTGTCTCATCATGGATAGTATGAAAAATTGCACATTAGCTTCATTTGTTACCCTGCTCGCAGAGTCTAGTTAAACTAGAGATGAAGCTCTCTTTTCTGAAGCGAAGTCGAATGAGTGCAAATGATATTCCTTTGTATACCACTCAGTTGAAAAGATTCCTGGGATTGCACTACATACATCTCATCTTCTCCAAGAAGCTTAAAATCCGTTATGCTCCAGGGAATGACTAGGTCATAACATTAATGATGTTCATAAAGGCTAGGCAAGAAGGATGCCTTGTATCATCATTCCCTTTGAGACCTCCCATATTATGCTCCATATTAGGACTCTGCTGCTTTCATAAACCAGTTCATTATTTTGATGAAGAGAGTACAGTTGAGATGGTACATCATATCAGGGCCATCTTTGATATCCAAATGAATATGTTCCAAAATTAATTATTCACTTTGGCAGCCATTTTGGTTGCCATCCTGAATATCCAAATAAAAGAATTATTAGATGACTTAAAATTCTCAACCATTGAAACCTAGCCATTGACTTAAAATTCTCGACCATTGAAACCTAGACATGGTCTCCAAAATCACTTTGTAATTGTTCATTCAGCTTATATTAATGGTAACTTATTCATTTTGGCAGCCATCTTGGATTTCCACATCAAGTTATTCTTTGAAAATTAAGACAATAAAATCATTGATCCCCAAACCCTTTCATGATCTACAAAACTACATTTTAGCTATTCTTTGAGCTTACATTAATAGTTACATGTTTTGTTTTGGCACCCATATTGGCGGCCATTTTGGTTTTGTATGAAAAGTAATTATTTGATTACTTAGACTAAAATGAAGCATAAGTGAAATCATTAACCTCTAAACCCTTTCATGATCTATAAAATTGCTTTTTATCTGTTCTTTGAGCATGTATCAATACATGTACATGTAGTTACATATTCCTTTTGGCACCTATTTTGGCGGCCATCTTGGATTTACATATAAGGTAATCCTTTGATGACATAGATTTAGACATGAATAAAATCCGTAGACTTGAAAACCTCTTCTAAAACTCTTCAAAATCATTTTGAAACGTTTTAGCTCGTATCATTAGTTACATATTTATTTTTGAACCAAAATTGGTGGCCATCTTGGATTTTCATATGAATTTATGTTTTGTTGACTTGGATTTAGGCATAAATCGAATAAGTGACCCCTAAAACCCAGAATTAGACCCTAAAATTACTGATTTTGCCTCTCAGTATGCTTAGATATAACTTCTTTCATTTGGTAGCAAGCGCACCGGCGGCCATTTTGAAAAATGGGTGATAACACCCATTAAGCTGCCACTTCTGCAATGCTATCACATATTTTCTTACTCTAGGGGTGTACACCTTCTCAAAAATCACCATGGCCATTATTCCCCTGATTTGGTACCGACCAACCCCCCAGGCTGATCGCCTAAATACCATCCCGGAAAGGCATGACATGTTCAACCACTGAGAAGTTAGCGCAAGTCAGATTTCACAAGAATTCATAAAATCTGTCCTGTGCAGTCAACCACGGAAAGATTTTAAATTTGCTCTGTGTCAAATTATTCGAGTGAAATTGCTCTTTAAGTATTCAATTATGTTTAAAGGTAAATGCCAAAATTATGAGAGATATTGACCATTTTGTACTTGTAACATTTTTTGAGACACTCTGTACATGTAATCAGTTTTAAACTTTCATACGACTAAACGCCCCTTAAAATTCCAGAACAGTCCAGCAAACAGTTAGGTTTGAAACATGTACACGTGACTTTTAGAATGGAAAATACAAAATGACCAGCCACCTTAACATAACGATAATGCCTCAAAACTAACCATTTCTAGGCCAAGGAGGATTGGAAGCCAGGGTTCCAACTCAATATTCTGTAATCTCCAATCGATGCGGTAGTTTCCAATCCTGCCAGTATATTCCAGATCAATCCATCGAACAGTTTGGCTTGAATGTGTAGACAAGACAACATACATGATTTTAGGAAGTAAAATCCATAATAGCCACCTTAAAATTTACTCAGAATGCCAAAAAACTAACCTGAAAATTGAAATCAATCCATCAAATGGTTTACCTGAAATTTTGGCTAATCTCATCCTAAAGATATTATAAACTTAAATTCTTCAATGTTCATTTAATATCTTATATCCATGTATTTCATTATTAAGTTAATATCCATAATAAGATTACAATAGAATGCATGTGCAGTCAGTCATCCCCCTTCAATATTTCAACAGTTTATGGATCAATGTTGAACATATTATATTGGCCTTTATTGCACTGTAGTTTATAGAGGATGCATTAGGTATTCTTCAAAATATATGCCATTTGAATAATACTGTCTTAAGTATCAATTTGTCCTGTCTCCAAAATGCAAATTTTGTCATTTCCAAGTCCACTTTATTTCGCATCTTGGGCATCATGATATACCATGACATCTCATTTCTTCTCAGCCCTGGTGAAACAGAAAGATGCTATGAGTATCAGAATGCATCTTGGGTAACATGACCATTATTTCATTATTTGTATAGGTAGCACTTGACTCTCAATCAGTTTGTTTATAATGCAGTTGATTCTGAGAGATCCCCATTGGGAGATTCTACATTGTGCTGTTGCTGGACCTGGATGACTCGTATCTGAACCTTAATGTCCATGCATATTTGTCTTTCTTGCTGAATCTTCTCTATATAGTCAGCATTTTGTAACTGGAAATATAAATAGTATAGCACTCATAATTAACAGACATGTGGAAAATTGAAAACTTGAAAAACTTAGTAACCCCCCTATCACACCAAACTAGTTCTTACCCGTTCTTGCCAGTCCTACGAAAATGTCGTAAAACGGGCTCAATCTGGCTGCGGTCGGGATGTATGTCTAAAATAATTAGCTACTCGTTCATAAACAGTCTTCAATACGTCTATCACGTTCGCAGTTCGTTCAGGTCGCACCACGTCGGTGTGCAACGTAGTATAAACCGTTCCCTAGTCTAGAAGGTCATCATGACCTGATTACAGAACGGTATGGTCGCCATCGAATTTTGAATCGATTCAAAATTCTAAATCACATACCCCGTCCAGGAAAGTCCATGAAGTTCGTAAACAGACCGTAGAACGTTGTAGCTACATTCATTCAGTTCGCACACAGTTTAAAACCGATTTGGCAACGTTTTGATGATCACCAGAAAATGTTGAGCATGCTCTATAAGTGCTGGAGGACCTACTCGTTCTAGTAGTTTCATGAAGTTTGTAAACAGATCCCAAACGGTTCTTAGTGGGTTCGTAGTACGTCAAATCGGTTCGTGCACAGTTTAAGCCCGTTTTCGAGAACGTAGTGAGAACTAGTTTGGTGTGATAGTAGGGTTACAACCACGCATTTATAAAAAGTAATCGACTTTCAATAAGTACATAATGAACATCCTGACTCATAATAATGACTCCTAATTAAATGAAGGAAATTGAAAAACATAGTTACAAACACACATTCATACAAAGTAAGTGACTTCCTATCAGTACATAATGAACGCCTGCATGTAGATACATGTAGATCAGATAACAGAAAATTTATTAATGTCACAATGCATAATAACATCGATTTATGATGTTATCATATTGAAATTGTTACCTCAAGCTCTCTGTTCTCCTTCTTTAACCTCTGTAACGTTTCTTGTAAATCATCCTCATCCTCGGACGAATCACTGGAATCTGAACTCTCATCAGAATATAGTCCCTCACGGATGCTGCGTATCTCAGCTATTTCTTCTTGGAAACGCTCAATTTCTGTCTGTTCTGTCTCTATCTTCATCTTCAGCTCATCAGCTATGAGAATAAAAATAATGTGTATAATTTAAGTACATGTATACAATGAATAGATTTTCTACAATAAAATTATAAATGCTTCATTAATTTAATTTTAGTGATATCTTAGCCAGCCAAAAGTAAATTTTTATTCTTACATGATTTAATTTTATAAGATCATTGACAATCAAAATTCGTAAAAATAATAATTTAAGCCTTTTCAAAAATAATTTGAAACAGCATATCATGCCAAGTCAAATAAACATGATATAAAGAAATCTTACCTTCGTTTATCAGTTCCTCTTCCTCTAGAAGTAAAACTGCATGTTCATGTAGCAACTGTTGGTATTCCTCCTCATCCACTGAATCATTGTCACTGTCACTGGACACTTGAAAAGTAAAAGAAAATAAGATTCCTTTATGGAAATAAATCATTAATGTGATGAAGTATAAGAATGCAAAGATTACAGCATTATAAAACCTTCACAATTCAACTTTGTAACAAAGTATTTTCCACCACCTAAAAATCCTTTGTTAGAAAGAATTTTTGTCAAGAGGCTTTGTAACAAAGCAAATAAACCTGCAGTGTAACTGTGTAACCATTGAGTAGTTTTATTTGAGCTTTAATTTATTTGTATGTTAACACTTTGGATCTTAATTTCAGTACTGGCTTTTTCCATTTCATGCACTTTCACATATCATTTGTATTTGACACATACTACAATGAATCATGTGTAGAATCTAGTGCAAAACAAAAGAGACCGACCCTCAGTGCATTTCCATTGTGCCCTCACCTGCTGAAGAAGTCTCCTCTAACATAGTGCTGATGGGAACAGGTAGACTAAGAGTGGCTTGCTGTTGCCCTTCTAAAGAGGCCTCATCTGTGCCGTTTGTGTCAATATCAGCACCTGGAGTATCGCTCTCCTCATCCTCAACCCTGGCTCCTTCACTTGCACATTCACTGCTGGACACAGCTAACTCACCTAACAAGAGGAGATAATGGCACTGGATGATTGAAAAATATTAATGAATTGTGATGAGTATAGGTATCTCACCTTTCAAGAAGAAATAATGGAGATTGATATGATTTAAAATACATGTACATAGAAATGAAAACAATAGGTTGCCAAATTATGGATTTTACAAAACTGAAGATAATGACAAAAACTTTACTTACCTTGCCCCATAAATAGTTCTCCAGTAATGCTGTCCTTCTCTGCACCACTTGTAGAGGAAACTTCAGATTCAGCTGCACCTGGAGTATGCAGCTCTTCCACATACTGCACTCCGTCATTGATCTCAATATCAACCTGTATAGGTTCTTCCACAGTCACTGTGTTCTTTGGCAATTCTTGAGTCTGTGTGAGTTCATTTTTAATTTGCGTGTCATCTATTGTAGGTTCAACACTAGGCTCAATTTGATGCTCTGTTTCTTTGTTATTAATATCAACAGGTATATTTTCTTTACTTGCTTTCAGCTGTTTGGGTGGACCTTCTATCTTTACTTCAGAGCCTGTTCTTGAGTGGTCTGCTTTAGTATTGACCTCTCCGAGAATTTCTGATCCAGACCTTGAGTGACCTTTAGCATCTGAATTTGACCTTGAATGGCCTTTGCTGACATCTGAACTTGTCCTTGAATGACCTTTAGCACTGACCTCTGACCCTGATCTTGAATGGCTGTTTACTTCAGTAACATTGGCATCATCTTTAACCTCAAGTTCAGGAATTGTGCCAATCTCTGAACTACGCCTTTTCTCTGTGTCTTTCAAACGTTCAGGGTCTTTATGCTTTGGCTTGGGACTTGGTTTCCGTAGGCCTAATTTCAATTGTTGCTCTTTCCATGTTTCAGCGAGGACATCTTGCGCTCTCTGTTGTTTTAACTCCATCTCTTTACGTCGCTTTTCCAGGGCTTCTTGTTGCTTTTTGACATTCTTCAACTGAAAGTAAAGATGGTTCTTAGACAAAAGATCTTCTTGTAAGATAAGAAAGTAATCCAGGAAAGTAATGTCAGGAATTTCTAATTGATTATAGGTCAGTTATGAAAATTACATATGACACCAATTTATATATTTAAGATACTGAAAATGGTTATTAACGTGTAACAATCTGTTACACCCATGGTGACCTCTGTAATCATTAACATTTCTTGTTGATGAAATAATTATTATAAAGGTGCATTTGGTATGATTACCTTTGCTATATCTGGGAGATCAAAAGCATGCTGAACTACATAGATTTTCTTCTTTTTAGGGGCAGACTAACAAGTCAGGAGGTAAATTATAAGGAGTGACTCATTCACATTATTATTTCAGTCTATCAACATACCTTGCGCTTGAGCCCAGTCAGGACACGCTGCACCTCCCAAAGTTGTTCCTCTTTATGAGGGTCAGACATGCCTGCCCCTAGGTCAGCATGAAGGGTATTGAGAAGGGATTCCTGCTTCTTGATCTCATCTTCTATTGCCTCGGGGCTCTCAGGAAGCTCAAGGGACCACCTAGAGGAGGCAGGTTTCAGAGGTGGCACATTCCTATAGAAAAGGAATTACTATTGTTAGTGATATTCAAGAGAGAGTTCACTGTACATGTAGGAATGGGTTAAAATGGGTATTATTGCTGTCAACTGTAAATGTACATGAATGTTTGGCAAACTATAAAGGTATGAAGTTGAGAACACTGATAAACAGCCTGCTTCCAAGAATGTTTTATTTAATAGACGTGGAACTGCTTTGTAACTATGTCATATTCAAGGGATTTGAACTATAAGTTCAAGATTTGGCTAAATCCCCAGTACAGGTGCAGAATTCAGAGTTAAGTGTCCTATAATAACTGATAATAATGAGGAAAGCAACCATGATGGAAAATACTGACAGGCTCTACCGAGTGTGTTGTATTTCATTACCTTTTAATTTCCACTCCAGGAAAGAGTTCATTTACAAATGAGAAGAAGACGTTTAGCACTCTGTGGCTTATCTGCATTGTAGGGCTTAGCACAATGGACACATTCTGAAGTGTCATCTTGTTGGACACTTCCTGTAATCACAAGTATGAAAGTGTCACCAATTTGCAATTAAAATTCTAACAAACTAAAAGAAGGCATTGACATGCAAATGTCACCACCTGCCATTTGTTACATACATCTACTGGCGAATGCCAAACACAAATCGCCGAATGCAATCAACAACAAAAAGTTGGAGACTATAATCATGATGGTCACTGAAAGTAGAGTGAAAAGATAAGAGAAGGTACAGGTAACCAGGTATAGTCAAGTTAATAATTTTAATATTTTAAGGGATTTGAACTTCAAAACTGATTTAGCTCTTTACAGATCAATTAAACAAAAGGCGGTCTTTAAATAATTCTATAGTAGAATAAAACAATATTAAGACTACTAAGAAATAAATACATATTTTTACAACCAATTAGTAAAAACAGTTTTTTTTCAAATTATATTATAGGAGTTAAACAAGTACCAGTAGTTCATGTGAATTGAAATGTGTACACTAGTTATGAAAAGCATTTAAATAAGATTGGGGGTGGGGTTAAAAGAAGCAGTTCTCTACATTGTTCTAAAGTAAGAACCTTTTCTAAATATATATTGATGATGGCATAGTAGTGCAAACAGCAGAGTGAAGGGATTAGGAACTGCAAACCAAGTTTAGGATATAAATAAACCAAATTGCTGATTTATAGTCTAGGCTTACAGGCTACATAACCCCCAGTGTTGGCTGAAATCTGGGTTATATGCTACATTAATCTATATGAAAATATACAGAGTTGTCTAAAATTATATAAACCCATGAGTTGACTAAAATGTTGTATACATCAGGCCTGTACCCAACTTTTGCCAAAGGGGGGTCACTTTTATTCCAGGGGGATTCATTATAGACAATTTTGGCCCAGAAATGGTCAAATCACTTAAAAAGTGCTCAAAATGGTGAAAAACTGCATGATTTCATGATTTTGAAAAGATTTTTGGTCACTGACCCCCCCCCCCCCCCCCCCCCCTTGGTACAGACCTGTACATTAACTTATAACTTAACTTACAACTTATGAGCAAGCTATATGCAATATAAATCAAGATTTGGCTCAATCACAAGGGCTTGATATGTGTTATATGCAATGATATGAGGCAAGCCACCATTTGTTAACAACAAACCTGAGGTTTTTCCCCTTGCTTTAACCAAGGATTGTCAACATCAGGATGCGGAAAAGACTGAAAGATACATTCACAAAAATGTCCTCCTCAAAATCATCATGCCATTAATAAAACTACAGAAATTAGATACATTGTTAGTACTGGTACAAGTAAGTAAAAGTAGGTAAAAGTGCAAAGATAATTTCCTTTAGGAGACAAATGAACAGTCCACTTTCATTATCTATTATAATTGGATAATAATGATGCACTTATTTCATTTCTATGTCCGAAAGTAAAACATAGTGTTAAACTGAATATTTCGTGATACCATTATGGCAGTCTTTAAGACAAACTGGAATGGTGAATTAGAAGAATCTTAGTATAGTTGGAGCAGATGAAGTACCCAATATGTGCAGATAGTGAAGAAATAATGTAAAATGTATGTTTTGCTGGTCTTAATTCTCAGTCTATATAAATTTCAAAACTAATTTCAAAATTAATTATATTATTCTTGATTTTAAGTGCAAAACTGAACTTTTCCGCCATTCTAAATCAGGAGGATAAGGGTTAAGGATATGAGAAAGTATATCCAATACCGAAAAAAAATCATGCAATTATAATTGGCACAAAGACAAACAAGCAGAAACAAAAATGCCACTTTCTGTCATGGACAAAATGTTAAAGATATAATATTTTGAGATATTCTTACATTTTGTATAACATGATCCATGTGTACAATAACCCAAGAAACCAGGAGTCTGTTAGCCACAGGCAGTTCACCAAGCAACCTTTTACACTGCTCTACCTTTCTCTTGGGATCCTTAATAGCTGGAAATAAAATAAAGCAACATTTGATAAAGCTACATAGACATTTACCTCACAACTATTTCTGATGACTTTTTTCTTGCAACTTCTACAATTTTCAATTCAATGAGAGATACAAAAAAGTGCAGGATCATATTTTTCTATTGAATAGACCTTTCCAATAAATTCCTTACACGTTTTGGCCAGCTAAAGAAATCATGGTAAAAAGCTTATAAGGAATAAGTTAATGCTAGTCCTTTCTCTGCCCTCCAGGAACTGTAACAACAATAGCATATCATAACTACAATGAGGCATTAGACTATTCCTTTGATGCAATAAAAACACTCACTAGAGGCCTCTTCAAATGCAGGCATTAGCTGTGTAGTAAGGACAGGCTCGGGGAGCTCCCTTAGATACAACTTTAGGAGGCTCGCTACAACATTAGGCTCATGCTCCTGGAGGTAGGCAGGTCTCCCAGTATTATAGGCTTCCTTCAATGTGTTCACTTTAGACTTTACACCAGATATCCTGTAGATTCCTTCACAGTTTAACCCTGAAAAATAACATTTATCATGGATTGAATAGATTGAATATGCTTAAATAATGCAAGAAGGTGACAATACAGTCGTGTCACAGAACTGTATAGATCACCTGGTGCATATCAAGAATTTGCTTGATTTAAAGTACATTAAGTCAATGGGTTTTTAAAACAGGACTAAAAAAGCATTCCACTTGCGAGGTGTTCCAGTTAGCAGGTTCTACAGTATTTACATTTGATGAAAAACAGCAATTGCTGGTCACTTAAAAATGGGTAAGTTTGTGCCTTGATTAAAAGTTGGCACAATTTGACAGCAGTTATCAGCTCATTAATTACTGTGCCAAAGAGTTCTTTAAAATGTGAATGTTTAAGTGACCCAGCCCTGGTGTTCAGTTAGAGGTTTTACTCTATGCAGTTGAAATACTTTCTTACCATGTTCTTCAATGTAGTCAATGGTCTCCCTTACAATGGCAGGAAGTTCTATTCCATCGTGACATTTGCTCCTGGACACAGCCACACCGAGGGGGACCCCAAACACAGGCTTAGCATCTAAACATATTACAAAGCTTTAATATAGAGTTTACATCACTAGATATTTCATGTTGATTATAAAAATTGTGCCTTCCAGTCTTTCTTTTATATGAAGCAATGCACTTCAATGCAGGTAAATGTGAATGGATATATCCAGAACTACTTTTAATATTTAAATATTTCTTACCAGATTGTGCCTCAGGTGGGGTGCTCCATGGAGCTGCAGCTCCACTATATGCCAACATCTTTGACTTTTTCTTAAATTTCAACTTTTCTTTTTTATGTTCCTTTCCTTCCTTTTCCTTCTTACGTTCTTCCTTTTCTTTTTTACCCTCCTTTTCCTTTTCTTTCCGACTTTCCTTATCTTTTTCTTTTCGCCATTCCTTCTCTTTTTCTTTTCGAGATTCTTTTTCTTTTTTATCCTCCTAGAAAGTGTTAAAATCATTACTCAATATTTTTCTGTAGGAATACATATATTATTTGATCTTTTACAGACAAATATACTGTTCTTTCAACAGTTTCAATACCTTTATTTACATCTAACATTGAAGACATCTATTCACATACTACAAATGGCTTTTTAGTATCATAAGCCTTTACAATATCATATTTTCTGACCTTATCTTTCTTTGATATCTTTTCCCTCTTGGCAAACTTGAAACTGGGTGTCTTGTGTTTCTTCATCTTTCCTGGACTTCTAAAAGTAAATCAAAAATATTTTACAATAATAGCTTTGAATAAGACAGAAATGAATAAATAAATAAACTTCATCAGTTAAATTCTTTAGAAAATGAACAAAAATAAATCAAAATTGAAAGCATTAATTGAAATAATCAGCTCTGAGTCACTATGTATCACAAGCTGTAAATGAACAAGCTCTTGTAAATTTTTAATCCAAACCATTAAGATATTAAAGCAAATGATCAATCAATTGTTTTCTCACTTCAATAATCTCAAATAGTATATACAAACTTTATTGAAATTTGTGTAATTAATTGAAGTGCTACATACACTTTATCCATTATTCCATTGTGATATGTAAGATGTGATAATATTACTACAATACATTCAGTATGCTTATCTTAGGACTGAACCGTCTAGTTTGAGTACTCTCAACCCTTTATATTTGGCCCAATATATTTCATGAATGACATTAACAACACAATTTGCTGATAAAATATTCAAGTTTTATGTTGAAAATTAAAACAAATATAATGCATTAGGAATGTAGCAAGTGGCATATGGTGAATGATTAACCATGAGGTGTCTTGTTATTAAATGAGCGGTAAATAATAGGGATATAAACAACTTTTTCCAGTAGTTGTCAAAAGGTTGAGAATACAAGTCCTGCTGGGGAAGAATCACTTTTCATATCAACTGGTGGCATAGGAGTTAATACCCTTTGCATTCGTTCGACTTCACTTCTCAAAAGAGAGCTTCGACTTCACTCTTTTAGTTAACAATAAATCTCTGATCTCACCGAGCCAATCAGAGTTTGTCGTCCAAATACGGATGACTTTCTATATGGTCATTTCCTCTGACATCACCGCATAGTTAATGAGCACGTATTAGCACGTGGTAGATTTGAAATGATTTATCACCCCGGTTGTCACAGGCACCAATCTTTGGGGAGGGGCTGATAAACTGTAATATAGTCTATACGAGGCAGAGGGTAATTCATAACTAGCCTGCGCGCAGGCTAAGGATTTAATGTTGTGTTTTTAAATAGCTAAACATTACTGCTCGGAGAGTGAATATACATGTATGAACATGACAAATTGTCACAACATGTGAATGGTGTAACAGTTTAATAGCAGACACAGACTTCTGATACTGAATGCCAATTACTAAAGGTGACAGACTTCTTACAGCTGACATAATTCTTGCTTTTGACATTCTTACAGATGACCATTTCCTTCCAATTGAATAATATATCTTCATATAATTTAAAACTCAATTTACTTGTCATCAACCAGGATCATTTCCTCCTCTGAATTTTCTTCCTCAAACATCTTGTAGCCTTTGTCCTTCTTCTCCTTGCGAATGAATTCAGGCTTCTTTACTGCACTTAAGGGGTGTTCCTTCTTCTTAGGGCGCTCTTCATCAGATACTGCAATATGATTAGAACATGCAATAAGTGATGGTATAACCCATGCTGGAGAAAGAAGTATTCTTATTAAGCATGATAATCATTGGAATAGTTAAAACCCCAAGCAAATATCATTCCTCACATTTAGGTAACGAAAATTATATTCAGAATTTTCTGCAAATTTCTATGATGATTGAAAAACATGGAAAGCCCACAAGTGATATTATGAGAGAGAATGTTCAATAAATTGTCTAAGTCAATATTCTTTCAGCTTTTTATAACTTATTATATTTTATGATAACATGGTAAATATCACTTAATAAATCTTATGACAACCAAGCATAAGGTATTTTATGACAAAAATAGCATCATATAACTAAAAATATATAGCTGTAAATATTTTCGTTTTTAAAAGAAAGACTGCCATTGTCACATATATAGTAATTTAGACAGAACACTTTGCAGCATCAAAGTCAAAGTCCTTGCATATTCAGTGAAATTGAGCAATACTTTAGGCATCTCCAGAGAGCCTTAAAATCACATTTAATCAGAATACCAATAAATTGTATTGATTTTTGTTGTCTACATCTCATCTTTCCAATCAATTTTAACCTATGAGTGGGATAATCTAATACCTAAAGAATAGTCACAACTGAGAGGAACAACACAAGAGAGGAAAAAGATAATAGTCAAACACAAATTAATTTATTGATAACAGTACGAATGATTGAAACTGATTGAACTGCGGGTATTTTGATTTGAATAAACAAAGTATTCAATTTTCAATGGGGACCACTTTCAGTTTGGATACCATTTTGGCAAATCCCTCTTGATCATAAAGTATCAACCTAGAAAGCATCATTATTTAAAATTAGACCAAAGTTTGCAAAGAAGCCTTGTCATTTTAGCCATCTTGAAATGAGCAACATTTTAGGTCCAATTTTGAAAAAAAGCTGTCAGCTGTCAAGTAAAAATCATTAAACGTCTTTTAAAATGAATATGTTACTTATCTTTAATTTTCTTTTACAAGAAAATGGCGGCCATTTTGAATTTGGAGGGAATTTTAGAAATTCCTCTTGAACAGAAATTGTAAGCCTATAAAGCATTTTTGGCTTCTTCAATTTTTTATAAATAAATCTTTATTTTCACATATTATTTTTTACAGGCTATTAATGTTGTTTACTGTAGTAGGAGAGAGAGAGAGGCTTCTTGGGCAAAGGTCCTTTGCCAAAAGGCATCAACCCATATATTTTGAACCAAATCCAACAACCTAAATTTGAGATACCAATGCTTATATTTTTTACTCAACATTTCTTCTTGGGCAAGCATACTGAAAATTTATTCTCGAGCAGAGGTCCTAAATAGGTATAAGCTTATAAAATTTGAAGCAAATCAGAAAACTAGCATTTGAGTTACCACCTGGATGCACTAATGGAACGCCACTGTTACAACAGGGGCACATACAGATGGCTTTTCTATATCCCTCCACAAACTTTGTTCAGTGGGATAATAATTTCTCTGATAAGTTGATTAGTTCTCAGTAGGTCACTCACATTGATCATCATCCCGTTCAAGTTCATCTGTGACATGATAGTACAGACCCGGGAACTCCCGTTCACCATCACCACTTTCAAAACTCATACTGCCACCTTCCTATGTCACCACATGTACTGTCACCTTCCAATGTCACCACATGTACTGTCACCTTCTTACGTCACTACATGTTCCTGTCACCACAATTTAACTTACTGGAAAGTGTGCTGCATTTATTTGAACTTAACACAATTTATGATGTATGTGATCTCTATCAGTATCATGCATTTTAAAAGAAAATTTAAGACTAAACTATCAAACAAACAGCCTAATAAACACTTGGGCCATTAGGGGGAGGGGATTAAGGTAACTGAATGGAAGATGGAGCTGTCTTTAGCTGTGTGTTAGATATATAAAAATTACATGCTGAAGGGTCAAGTATATGGTTAAATTTTCTACATTTTGAAATAAAAAATAATTCAAATCAAAAACTCAATTAAGCATTAACGAATGGGACTTAAATCACTACCAACCTACTAGGTCTACAGTAGTATAATATTTTATATACTCCATGTTATTAAAGTAAATGTTGTAAAAAGCAAACAGCAAAATTATATGAGAATGCAGCACAGTTTCAATTTGTTATTTCATGAATACACATGCATAATTGGCACAATCTCACATAGCTCTATGCCCATGCAATATACCATAGCACACATCATACCATACTAAATCCATGCATAACACACATAAACGATCTAATATAAAGCTAAATATTATCTGAATTTCAGACCATTCAAAACGCATTTTATTATGAATTTATAATACAGCGCAAACTAGTAATTTAACAGTATAAGATTAAAAAAGCAAAATATTAAACGATGCATATACGTATTGCACAATCTAAACACCATTTATAAGGCCAAGCTTTAACAGGTTCTTATACACCATTCTAAAGGCGAAACATGACATAATCGCATATCATTTTAAAGCCATGCACATCCTGTTATTTAAGGAGTGCCAGGTAGAATGAGAAACCTGACTGATTAACTTGTAAATCGCTTAATAAATAACATCTGAGAAAAAGGCTTTAAAACTATGAATTTTGTGACTTTTGTTTCAAAAACTCACATCTATTTATGTTTGTACAAACATGTCCAAAATTCATTCCACAAAGCCCACCTTGGGATGTTGATATGTGTAAGTATGAAGCAAATTAACAAGGGGTCAGCATTTTTGATACACATGACACATCCCATTTAGCAAGAAATTGTAAGCCATGCACCATACATGAATTTAATAAACTAATATACATAATCATTTTTATTTAATGTGTCATTTAATTTCAAGGTTTTATTATCAATAAAAATAAATATGTTTCAAAATATAGACCATTTTGATGTCTCAAAAACTTCAAATTCAGCTGTAATAATTTGTATGGATCTATGTTCATACTGTAAACATAAAAAAATCATATCACATCTTAACTCACCTCATTGATTCCTACTATAATTTTATGAACAATATTATATTATACTGTAGTACATGAACCAAGCCAACAGTAGAATTCTGTTAGTTAAAATAGTATACCTGACATGCAAACATTGCTTCAAAATCTCCGAAGATAAAAATCAATGAAAATATCCAAAATCTGATGTCATGGAAACTTCAGTGTTATGAAGAAAAAAAAATATATATGTAATGTATTTGAAGTTTTATGCAGCAATATTTACACACAAACCAATGGGAATGGTTCTTTACATGTAGTTTAACCTACTAGAAATCAAGAAAATTAGTGAACTGCCATCTATGAGAGTTCTAGCCCTCCTCCACCCATTTCATCAAATATGTACACTAAAGATAATTATTGTCTGGATTTCATTAGCCAAACCTTTCTGAGCCAGTTATCTACTCCCTGAATCTGAAATGTCAAAGATGTGGGCCAGACAATGTCTAATGCAAAAATGAGGGTATTTACTATTGAAAAACATGTCGCTGAATCATCACTTATTATTCGATCTCTATTTGCCATTCAATCCAAATATTGTGCTCCATGTACATGTATATTCGATTTGTAATAAAGAGTGCATTACTTACAAGTAAATGTGCAGTGTCTTGTTTGTTTATATTGATGTTGAAATGTGTTCAACATTACATCAACTTTCGTTTAAATTCCTGCCTGTCTATTTGTCATACTGAATGAAAAAAATAAGCAGCCAAGACATCAGGATATTCTACATAATCATGTAAAGTTTACAGAAGGATTGCAAAGTGGAAACCTACCAGAAATGGAAACCTACATATACCATATCAGAAAATTAAATTTAATACAAGGAACAAACATGTAAGTATATTTTATAATGTTTATTCATATATCAGTGCATATTTTTAATTGAAAAAGTGTGTGTCTTTTCATGAGTAAACACCCCCATTTTTGAATTGGACATTGTCTGGACCAGATCTATGACATTGCAAATTCCAGTCAGTATCTACACAAATCCTGTGATAAAGGAGACAAATCTAAATCATTGCAAATGATTATGTTCAGTCGATAAAATATTCCAGTTTAGCCACTGTAGATATCAGGTGTGGATACTAGTGTTGTTGCGATGTGCCATACTCGTACATCGATGCATCGGCAATTTTCAGTAGTAAACATCGATGCACATCGCGATGTACATCAAGAAAAAGTTCGAGAAAAGTGCACTGAAATACCGAACGCTAATGCACTAAAATATCGAACAGAACAAATTAATAAGAGTACGCTGGTACATCCGGGAACATAGTAATGGTGAAATGAAAGTAAAGTAATTTTTTAGATTAATGGTTCATTTCGACAAGCTAAAACAGTTTTAAAGCGAAAGAATATCAGAAAACATTTGAAAATGAAATAAGACATGAAAAAAGGTAAGCAATTTGCGTCAAAATAAGATAAGAAAGGGCGATTTTTAGCAAATTAAATTTTTTTAAAAACATCGATGTTTTGTTTCAGACATCGATGCATCGCCAGAACCAGCTTTGGCGATGTATATCGCGATGTATCGATTAATCGCGACAACACTAGTGGATACAGGCTCCTCCTGTGACAATTAGGGGTGTGTCAATAATGTATTGAAAATAATTTCAAGTGAAAGTTTGGGGAAAATTATTAACAAAATCGAATTTCTGCAAAGGTGAAGTAGACAATATTTCAAATTAAGCTAGATAGGTCACTTACCTTAAATTTTTGAATATTGTTTTTCAGTTGCATCGATCTAAATGTAAACAAATTCAGGAAAATGTGAAGAATTCGGACAGTGGAAACATTTCCAAATTTCCATCATAGTTTATAACTATTGCGACAAACATTAGAATGAAAAATAATATGAAAAATACTGTTTGTTTTAAAATTGACAAAATAAGAATCAAATTAGTAACTTCATCTAAATAATTAGTCTATCCTAATTAATTTATTTGCATTAAATTATTCACAAAAATTATTTTTATTGCAAGTTCTTTTTTTAGATTTCGCATTTGTGCACATTTTGATTCACTATTGCATGCTGGGAAGGTAAATAATGGCGCTTCATTTCGAAAGGAAGTGCTTATTTTATTTCTCGTGTATAGCTCTTCCCCGTTAGTATTTAGCCTGAAAAGGACCTTGATGAGATAATTTACAAAGGTGAGTATTCGAAAGACACTGAATATAACCCATCGCCATGTGACTGATTTATTTATTTTCCACTAAAAAGATGCCTAAAAATGAGATGTGACTCACGAACCTCTGTCCTCTTCTTGGTAGTCTAGTGTCTAGGCTCACAGAGACATGTAGCACTATGATATGAGATGAGCACTATGATAGGCCCTATAAGAAGTAATCTCTATATAAAGCCCCATATCAGGCAGCCCCATATCAGTCATCATAAACAATACCATATAAGGTGCTACAAGATCCTGTGTCTAGGCTCAATAAATATACTCAAGGACAAGACACAAAGTCTTCGGAAAATTTATATTTCTATGATTTTGGAGTCATTTTATCAATAAATATCACATATCATACCTCAAACGATGCATACTGTTGTTAGCTTATCCCGTGCCAGGACTATAGCCACTATAGTCCTGAGAATGTCTCAGTCTTTTGCCTGTACGATTACAACATGGGAGAATTTTCTACGGCTCTTACACTTACACAAGAAACCTACTTCAATAGATTCCTGGATATTTTAGCATTCTTTTTGTGTAGTTGAATTCCATCACTTTTCAAGATCGCGGTTGGATTTAAAAGGGGATTCCCCGTTTGACTGGCCTAGAAGTGGCCGGGAAGTACCAATAAATGGAGGAATTTGACGGTTGAAATAAGTTAAATATAACACAAATATTGCGATCAAAAACGAAAATTTCTTCATTCTGCCGATAAACCCAGACAATTATGGATTCAACTACACGAAAAGAATGCTAAAATACCAAGGAATCTATTGAAGTAGGTATCTTAAGTTTAAGGAGCATAGAAAATTCTCCCATGTTGTAATCGTACAGGCAAAAGATTGAGACGTTCTGTCCTGGCACAGGATAATTGTTAGCTATCACTAAAACCACACATTCAAGAAAGCGTCTGTTGATAAAAGCATAAAATAAGCGAGTATATATTTAAAGGAGTGCTTCTGCTTTTTCTGTTCAAATGTTTATTCCCGAAGTCAAATGCCTTTTCTGAGAATGTGACGCCACTCCGGATGACGTAACATCAGAGATAACCATGAAATCCCATGACGTTTCTTAAACTCCTCTAGAAACAATAACAATGGTTTGTAACTTTCATTGGCTGTTTGTTGCGATGTTACGTAATTCAAGAGACGAACAACATCGGACACTGCCGGAAATTACTGAAGCACTACATTATCTTTACACTTTGAAATAAATGTCCCGGGAAAATTTGATTTATAGCGTCAATAATTATTATTAATATCATGCAACCATTCAAACTAATACATAAAGAAGAGATTACAGGGTAAATATTGATCACTCAATGATTATGTTTGAGAGATCCAAAAGATAAAGGTCAGTACGAGCGTCATATTTTTGGGTGGTCATTTTTTGGATGTGCCATTTTTGGTTGGTGTCTTATCTTCTCATTTATTTTTTGAGCCAATACCAAAAGGGGCTGGATCTGGCTCCGGATCTGTGATGTGACCACTCAAATTTGTGTGGGGTTTAGGCATAGCATGGATCCATGCTCAGAGATGCTAACCAGATCAAAGACTCAATAAATGTTCCTCAAGATGAGACACTGACAAAAAATTCATCTTTTAAAATATACAGAGTATAAAACATGCAGGAATTTATCATTGGACGTAGGCCACGATATAGTGGCCTTAGAAGAAGGTAACAGGGGCGTAGCCAGCATATACTGTCAAGGTGCTATTTTTAAAAAAATGGGGTAAGGTGGTTCAACCAACGCACCCCCCTGGCTACGCCCATGCGAGAAAAATCATTCAAAGCGTCTTGTTATTCTCTAGGTTACATAGTACATTTTTGATGACTATAGTACTGAACAGGGTATACACAAGTAATCCTGCATTGGTAAGAGACCTGATACTGATATATTATCGGCGGGAAGGTGTCTGTCCAAATCTGAAGGGCGAAGGTGTTTGCTTCACGTTGTGATTCCAGGAATGTGACGCATTAGCTTCATCTACTGGAGGAATATTTATTTAGCTTCTGATAATCTGGCCGGTATCTATGGATTTACTTGTTTACTAACAAAATCAATGTTTCTTTTGTTATAGGATTTATTTCCTGATTGAAAAACTATGCACATGTTTTATAAGAAGGTATAGTAATGGCGACAGGAACAAGCATAAACTTTGATGCTCAAGCTCTACATGATCAAGATGAGGCAGACTTCCAGAGAGAAGAACTTGAAAGACACCATGAGGTATAAACTTGTTTATTTGGAATATGTCTCTAACTGGTCTTAATTTGGTGTCCATTTTGATTTGGTGAATGTAAATAAAATCAATGCCAATCAAAAAGTTTTAAAGTGTAACATCTTGAAGAAAAACCTTATACACTTGTAAAATTTAACTTCACCAAAAAGTCTATGTGTGAATTAAATTACGCCAAGACAAATATAAGACTTATTACATTATCTATTTATCAATTTGTGCCATGTAAAACAAAAGGCATTCCTTAGAATCTGATCCTAGACGGAAACTTCAAATTTCAAATGATTATTAATGTGAGTCTAAGAGTTTCCTTGTGACAATGATTTGTAAGTTTGTGCAAAGTGCAGCATTCAATCTATGACGGGACATTGATATTGTTGTTTTTCTTTTTGTATAGTTAAAGCAGTTACTGACGAATGCACTTGATGACCTGAGTGATGATGAGGTGGACTCTCTGTCATCTCATGATGTTACATCAAACAGATCGCTAGAATCTCCCCTCTCGGGACACTTCAGGTATATGTACCTTTATACATTCAAGATTTAGGTGATAGAATCTCCCCTCTCGGGACACTTCAGGTATATGTACCTTAATACATTCAAGATTTAGGTGATAGAATCTCCCCTCTCGGGACACTTCAGGTATATGTACCTTAATACATTCAAGATTTAGGTGATAGAATCTCCCCTCTCTGGACACTTCAAGTATATGTACCTTAATACATTCAAGATTTAGGTGATAGAATCTCCCCTCTCGCGACACTTCAGGTATATGTACCTTAATACATTCAAGATTTAGGTGATTACCCAATTACTAAGTAAATTCAAATACCACATCAACTTGATTCAGATTTGATAGGCAGGTCCTCTTGGGAATATAGACCTCTCTGCAAGAAGCAATTTCATTATGGCTGCGCAGTCCAAAATGTAAAAATGTAATCATTGAGAAATATTTCATGTTGTGAAATAAACTATAGAATAAAATAACGTAAAACAGTTTGGTTCATTGTGGAACCATTGGACCTTTGCTCAAGAAGGTATTTTCAACTTTTAAATAATTTAACTTTTAGCTGTAACTTGAATACTTCTTTACTTACTTTGATCTTATTGAAAAATGAAACTGCTTCATCACACATTTACAATTTCTGTTCAAGAGGGATTTCAATGATAAGTTGGATTGACTTATTGTTTGTTTTATTTATTTTAGGCACCCTGTTCCATTAAGAGGCACAGCAAGGGCTCCATGGTTGTCAACCTCCACTTCTACACCAATCAGAGCCCCTTCAGGTGCAGGAGGTCCTTTCTACCCACAACCACAATACAATGGGAAACAACTCTTTATGCCCCAACATGGGGTACTAAACCCCCATCAACAAAACTATCCAAATGTCTATGTAGGTGAATGGGTGGATAACAATATGAATCACCCCAATATGGGTAACCTTGGAAAAACAGATTTGGGTGATGAATATAATGCTCATATTGGGTACGGCACTCGCGGCTATGTTCAGAATGACCCTAGTGCTGAACCATATGTACAAACCGAGACAATGCCTCCTTCATTTCCAAGAGGAGAGACAGTAGGAGGAAATGAAGTGGTGTATGACTATCACCAGCCTGTCTACCAACAGTCCAATTATGCTCAAAATGAACAATATGCAAATATGAATAACATAGCAGGGAGTGGTCAGTATCAACATACTGATTATGCCTTGAGTAATGATCCCATGTCTCCTCATTCTACACACAGTTCCTCTCAACCCCTTGTCAATGGGATGCCAAAAATGGATATAGACACATATCAAGTAAAATACACTGGTGCGCAGAATAATCAAGTCCCTAATGTTCAAACTGATGAACATCAGATTCAATTTTCACCAAGAAAGGACCATATTGAAAATGACAGGTCACCAATTCATAGAAATGGACATTCTCCCGTAGCGCAGAAATCAAGTCCAGAAGAAGCCAGGCCCTCAATGGGGGAAACACATGGACATATAATTGACAGAAGATCTGTTATGGAAAAAGAACAAGATATTTACATTCAGCAAGGTATGTTGATCTTTAAATGCAGTGACCTCGATAGGCAAACCTGATAGCGCCAGTGTCTTGTGCCAAAAATGAATGCCGCCGGGATCAATTTTTTTTGAAATTTTTTTTGCCACTTCATCCTCTTACACCTCAACTTTTGAGATATAACTTCTCAAAAAACATAAGATAAAGTGTTCACTTACCAAACAGATTCTAATTTTCTAAAATAAGGTCTTAAAACCAGTGTTTTGGTCCAAAAAAAGGCCAAAATCGCTTAAAAAGTGCTCAGAATGGTGAAAAATGGCATGATTTGATTAGTTTTGACCCGGGGGGGGGGGGGGGAAGAAGCCTGAAATGTTTTGTTATTTCTGTTTGTTTGGTGTGAATACATACAAGTATATTACTCTAGGAGCTAGCAAACATTTATAAGACATCTCGAGTACAAAAGGTTTGAGGCCTGTAATTAGTAGATGTGGGTCTAACATCCCCAAAAAGGCAACTCTTAAGTGACAAATTTGGGGCTACCACCAGGAGGCGCTTTTTGAAATGCCCCCCAAATTAGATTTAAATGACATCTCGAGTACATCAATGAAACCTTTGTCAAAATGTTCCTTTGGACCCTCTGAAACATTATGAGTCCTTAAGAGTAGCCAATTTTGGGGTTTAACCCATTTCTGAGTGAGTTAAAGGTCACCATGGATACAGCCACACGCAATCAAAATGCTGTATCAGAGCCTTGTGAACTTGAATATATTTGATATTCTGATATATCCATAAAATATGTAAGAAGACCTTTCTAACAAGCCATAATACATCAATCTATGACAACTGAATCCAGAGATATTGAACTTTTTGTCTCAATTTTGATCCGAAAATGTACATTTTTAAGTCTCGTCTAGTTTGTATTCGTAGCTTCAGGCAAAAGGTGACATAATAAACAGCTCAAAATAGTATTCCAAGAACATTTCCAAGGTTTGTGTAATATTGTTGTACAACTTTTATAATGATGAATCACTATTTTGTAATTTAAATATGACGTTATAGTGCCATACCCCTTCAAAATAGAGGAAAGCAGGCATAGTCAGTTTCATCGTTTTGCAGCATTAAGTTGAAAACATGTAGCACTAGAAAGTGAATCAATGCATCCAAAGCATCTTCATATGTTGTTTGACATTGTAATTTATGTCTTACTAGAATATTGGATTCTTCACATTTTATATGTAAGTTTTTGATATAGCGTCTCTCTTTAAATGATATCAATGAAATATAATATAATCATGCAGTCTAGATATTATAATTATAACAATGTCTATAAGACATCTTTACTCCCTGATTTGTCTATGTTATATATATGACGAAAAAATAAAATATTTCTCACTATGATAAGTCCATGTCCCAAACGTGACTAAAAATAACTGAGTGATATTCAAAGGAAGTCATGTGACATCCGTTAAATATCAAATGATATTCACCAGTCACAACTTTGTCCCCTGTAATTTCAAGTTTATGTAGTCCTGGGAGTACATTGTTTTGGTTAATTAGACAGCAATAGTTTGTTGTTCCATTAATGTGAGTGAGGAATATATTAGTGAATAATAAAACAAATATTTAATTATATTTTCAGTGAATACCTGTGACACTTTCACAAGATGATATTCCACTAGCACTTCGGGATTTCTGGAATATTATTTGTGAAAGAGGCATAAATATTCACCTCAATAGAATTAAGTATTTGTATTTTATTATTTCACTGTCAGATTCTTCACTCTCTGATTGGTCCATGTACTGGAAAATAACAAGCGAAATCAACGAAGTCCAAGACTAGCATCGAATATCAAATGATATTCACCAGTCACGACTTGATCCCGTGTAATTTCAATTTCATATAGCCCAGGAGTACATTTTTGTGATTAATTAGACATCAATAGTTTATTATTCAAGGAATGTGAGTGAGGAATATAAAAGTGAATAATAAAACAAATATTTAATTCTATTGAGGTGAATGCATGTGGCACTTTCACAAGATGATATTCCATAAGCCCTTCGGGCTTCATGGAATATCACTTGTGAAAGATATAAAGGTTATTTAATGGAATCGAAGGTTTTTGATACAGGGTATATCTTAGGGAAATACAATATATCTACCCAAGGAACCGGAGGGACCGAGGGTTGATATATTGTATTTATGCCTGGGTCACATTTGCTCCGATCCATCGGCTGGCGCCCGGCCGATTGAGTGTTTTGTTCAATACTGTATTCAATTTTGAACAAAACATTCAATCGGCCGGGCGCCGTAGGGAAAATTGGAGCAAATGTGACCAAGGTATCACCGAGGGATATGCCCTGTATCAAAAATCGTGCATTTAAAGGGGCAACAAGGCCTGCAGAGAGAAAATTCGAAATTTGTTACTTTTTTTATCTATCAAGTCAACATTTGGTTTAACACCTTCTTTGACATACCTATTTTCTTAAAATGTATGGATAAACTATCAATTTTAACATTAAGAAGTGTAAATTCAGTTCAATGCTTTTATAAAGGGAGTTCCACTTATAGATTTTTAAGATCTACTATGTTTCAAGAGGAATATCAGCTGAAATAGACTTCAAAAAGTGTTCATTCAGGGTGTTTGTAGATAATAAAAATATATGTAAGTCTTGATGAAATATCCAAACTTAAATATATTTTGACACTGGTTCATGATTGTTAAATGCCCCCCCCCCCTGCATTAATTGTTGCACCTCTTATAACTGAGATTATGAGGAATAAGTGTGGAATAAAAACAGGTATTCACCTCAATAAAATAGACTAAATGCGAGTAGAAATTATCTTGACTTACGACATCAAAATTTTAAAATTCAAAAATACCTTTTCTTGTGTTGGGCAGATAATATTTTCTTTTACTGGACATTTATATAACACATAAGGGTAATATGAAAAGTGAACCACTAAAACTAATGAATATTCAAGTTTACATGAACTTTGTAACTTTATACCATTTGAGCCATATCTTATAATCCTTCACTACCTATTCAGAAGGGTAGTTTACAATGTATAAATTGTGGAAGAGGCATATTAGTGCTCATCATCTGACCATATTGCAGTCCTCATTAAGCCATAAAGCGTCAGAGAAGAGAAGAACAGAATGCTTTTACTAAGATCGCACAAGCATGCTAGAAACGCTGCCTTCACTATTTTAAGTTCACATTGATTGAAATATAGATTTAAACATTTAAGGTAATATGCCTCAAATGACATGGGACACAACTTAAATTGTGTTACTCAGATGAAAATCATTAATGGTTATATAATGTTTATAATATGCTTTTGGCTGGATTGCATGATACATTAGTATTCCATTATAATACATGTACTATATTGAAAACCTATATTATGTTATATAAAATGTGTATGAGTCCTATATTCTAGTAAAAGATAAATTACAATGTCAAACAACATATGAAGATGCTTTGGATACATTGATTCACTTTCTAGCGCTACATGTTTCCAACTTAATGCTGCAAAATGATGAAATTGACTATGCCTGCTTTCCTCTTTTTGAAGGGGTAGGGCACTATAACGTCATATTTAAATTACAAAATAGTGATTCATCATTATAAGAATTGTATTACAATATCATCCAAACCTTGGAATTGCTCTTGGAATACTATTTTGAGCTGTTTAATATGTCACATTTTGCCTGAAGCTATGAATACAAATTAGACGAGGCTTAAAAATGTACATTTTCGGATCAAAATTGAGACAAAAAGTTCAATATCTCTGGATTCAGTTGTCATAGATTGATGTATTATGGCTTGTTAGAAAGGTCTTCTTACATATTTTATGGATATATCAGAATATCAAATATATTCAAGTTCACAAGGCTCTGATACAGCATTTTGATTGTGTGTGGCTGTATCCATGGTGACCTTTAACTCACTCAGAAATGGGTTAAACCCCAAAATTGGCTACTCTTAAGGACTCATAATGTTTCAGAGGGTCCAGAGGAACATTTTGACAAAGGTTTCATTGATGTACTCGAGATGTCATTTAAATCTAATTTTGGGGGCATTTCAAAAAGCGCCCCCTGGTGGTAGCCCCAAATTTGTCACTTAAGAGTTGCCTTTTTGGGGATGTTAGACCCACATCTACTTATTACAGGCCTCAAACCTTTTGTACTCGAGATGTCTTATAAATGTTTGCTAGCTCCTAGAGTATATGTGCACCACTAAAGATAACATCCCAAATTAACAAAAGTGTAACATGTTCCATAGCCAAAATTGGTAAAGATTTAGAATAGTTGAAAAAGTGCCCATACTCATAATGGATACTTTCACATTACAACACTAAATGGATATTTTGCTTTGTTGCTACAGTGCTATTAAATAAAAACTATCAAGAAGAGAAATGGAGAGAGAAGTAGATTGATTACACCATTCACTGCGTAAAATACTACAAGATATGAGCTACATTGTACATAGAAATAGCATGGATTTCTATCGCAGTTAAAGAAAAATCTTTGCTTTTCTGTAGGTCGAAGTACAGAATCTGATCAGCTGGCTCAGCTCCAAATACTGTACAAGGCCAGGGGGAGGGAGGTAGAACGATTGAAGAAAGAGCTTACAACTGTTACTGAAGATAATGAAAGAGAAATTAGAACTCTGAAGCATAGAGTGGCTTTACTAGAAGGTAAGTTCTAATTTTGATTCATTGTTGAAATCATATTGATGCATGTATATATCACAACTAACAATCAACAACGTACAGTAACAACATATACGGTAGTGCTTGCAACGGTAATGGATCTCACTGCCGGTAAATTTCACCTCCATTACCCTGCCGTTACCAATAATCGTTGATACTGATAATGTTTCTAAAATCCCGGGGAAAATCCTGAAAGTGAAACTAAAATATTTGGAAAAATCCTTAATGAAGCTGATTTCTCAGCTTGATTTCCCGCTTACATCAACTGCAGTGGATATATTGTATCATCGTGTATCTCGTGTGTAATTGTGTATTGTTAGGAAGTCTGTGAAACGATAATAAAGAGTGAATTCGATCAAAATTGATCAAACTATTTGTGTTTGTTTTTTACTTCGCTGAAATCTCACGTCACATGATTTGTCAATCTCGCGGCATGGGAGATGATTGACAGAAGTGGGTGGGTTTTTGCTTATCCTCTCGCCTTTTACGAAAGCTGTGCAGTTGATTGACAGATTAGCTCTTCAAATGTGGAGATTGAAATATACATGATAAAACATTCTAAACGAACATTGTTTCGTAAATTTGACAATGAATCACAATGCCAATCATCATGTTGCAGCAGCGTGACGATTATCGGCAATGGATTTTATTGCCGGCAATTGAGAGTATCTACTGCCACTGCCGACAACCCCGCATTACCATAAGGCACTTAAATATGGGTGTACACTTAAGCAGTTTGAAGCAAAAATTGTGATGTAGGTTTTAAAAAATTGATCTAAGGAATATGATGAAGTATTGCATGTTTAAAAAATTCAAGCACTGCTGGAGAATCTATTATCGTAATTAGAAAGTTAAAAGTCTTGCTAAGAGCATGCACATGAAATTAAACATGAAATACTTCATCATATTAAAGATAAATCTTTTAAAACCTACATCACAATTTTTGCTTGAAACATGACAACTTACAGCTAATGTGTACAACCGTATATTTTGTCACTGTACATTGTTGATGGTTAGGCTTGTATATGTACAGCAATAAACATAATAGAGGATTAATGCACAATATTTGTGATGCATTTACCAGATTTATGTGTAGTAGTTCAATTAAAATGAGATGCAGTTGCGCATACATATTAGCTATTAACCGCTGTGCGAAACATTTGGAAGAGGAGCTATAAAAATCAATTTTTAAAACCTAAGTCGACTACAAACAGATTGAATCATATCAAGGCCCATAGCCTGTTGCAGAACATAAAATAGATAATAAAATCAGTGTTGGGAAATATACATTATAGCTTAAAAAGGAGTGTCAGTTGGAGTGATTACTCATGAACCTCTTGTATATTATTATTATTAATGATTTTATTTCACTTATTGAAAACAATATAAACAATTACATATAAAAGCATACCAATCGCCATGTGGCATTACAGGTTGCTTTAAGTAAATTAAACATAGTTTTCATGTGGCTTTAGATATCACAAAACAGAAAGTAAGTAAAATATTGTAAATAAAATAGATAAACAATATAAGTTTTTATTTTATTTTATTTGGGTCCAGGAGGTTGAGAGATGCTATATGAGTCAAAGTTTTAACTTTAAATTCTAGTTGGGTGTATATAACACGTTCCAACAAAGTCAGTTACTATGTCAATGAGGGTATTTTGAGAATCTCGACAGAGGGTGTTTTCAAAAATAAGATATTCTAATTGGTCATTTTGATTTGTACATGTGTTTGTATCATAAAGTAGGTTATTTTGTCTCAGTGCAGCCATCATATCAATTCTTTCATTTGTATGGCGTGGGCAAGATAGGAGAAAGTGTTTTGTACTTTCAGGGGATCCACAAGGACATTTGTTATCATTAACTCCTGTAAAATTGTGAGAGAAAAAGTGATCTTTTAACATGAAATCAACCCTTAGTCTATTGATGATTTTCTCCTTATTCCTTGAAAGTTTGAGCTTGGTTGTTGGGATAAAATTCATATTAGGAAGTATTAATGAACGAACAGCATTTTTGAAACTAGAAATGGTTGGTAAATCTCTTACAGGTTGGCTTAGGTTGTTCCATTGCTTTATAAGGTTTAGGACTGGTGCATTGAGAAATCTAGTTGTAACTTGAGTGGGTATTTTAAATGGTAAAGAGTGTCTTGTTGTCCTAGTGGCAGGGTTTTTATATATATCAAAAATATCAGAAATGTATTTAGCTACCATTTTTCTATTTATTTTGAACATTATTCGAAGATTTTTTTCTTTTCTTCTTTCACTCAGGGTCTTCCAGTTTAGGCACTGGAAAACTTTGGATGTGTTAGACCCATGGAGGACTCCAGCACATATAACACCTGCTTGATAGTGTAGTTTATCAAGTTTAGCTAGCAAAGCTAACGAGGCTGACCCATAAATTGCACTGCAATAGTCAAAGTTTGACGCTACATAGGAGTTATACATTGTTTCGAGGTGATTTGATTTAACACTGTTTGATAAGTACTTTAGTGGATTGAGCAATTTTTGAACTTTTTGGGAAAGATAATTGATGTGGTCTTCAAAGGTCAAATTTTCATCTAAAATAAATCCCAGATGTTTATGGGAGGTTTTACATGGAATAACTACCCCGTCAAAATAGAGCGGTGTTTTTTGAAGATTTTTGATCCGGTTTGAATGGAATATCACTTGTGCACTTTTGGACGGTTTAAATTTTAGAAACCATTTCTTTGACCATGAGCTAATTGTATTTAGATCATTTTGGATTTGCCCAACTTGGTCGTTAGATGGGTGAAAAAATGAATATAAAGATGTATCGTCAGCATAGATATAGGTTTCTGAGTCTAGATTGTCAGGAAGATCATTTATATAGATTAGGAACATAAGGGGGCCTATTACAGATCCCTGAGGAACACCAGAGTTTATGAAATCATCATTAGAGAATTTTGACTTGTGATCATCGATTGAAACGCAAACTTTTCTATTTCTCAAGTAAGAATTACAAAGATCAGCTGTTTTACCATTTATTCCATAGGATTTCATTTTGTGAATCAGAAGTGAGTGCGGGACGGTATCAAACGCAGCCGAAATATCAAGATACACTGAGTTAATACAATTTCCTAGTTCCATTTGTTTATAAATATGATCCGTAATTGCTAAAAGTTGAAGTTCAGTGTTATGGCCAGGAAGGAACCCTGACTGAAACTTGTATAACAGGTCATTTTCAGAAAGGTGTTTCATAATTCTAGCATGCACTACTTTTTCAAAAATTTTGGAAAATGTGCTTAATAAAGTGATTGGCCTATAGTTTTCAACATAAGACCGATCAGATTTCTTGTAAATAGGAATAATATTTCCTAATTTCCAACAGTCAGGAAATTCAGCTTTTTGAAAAATAAAATTGAAAAGTGATGAAAGTTGGTTTGACAGAGTGGTTGATGCCATTTTCACCATTCTGTTATTGATTCCATCTAGCCCACAAGCTTTGTCACGTTCAAGAGACTGAATGATTTTATTAATTTCATCAGGTGTTGTTGAAATGTTTTCAATGTCTTGGTTGCAACGCTTTGGAAAATTGGGGAAAACAATTTCCCCATTTAACTCATCTTGATGATATTTAGTTGAGAAAAGGCCTAAGAAAAGATCAGCTTTTTCTGCATCAGATGTTGCATATAAGTTTGAAGTTTCACTTCTGAGGCATGGGAGGCAGTCATAAAATTTTTTGGAAAGAAATGAGTTCACAATATCCCAATATTGCTTACCCTTACATGTTGAGTCATTGAGTTGCTTAACTAGTTTTTCCTCGTGGTTGATTTTAGCTTCTTTTATTAGAGTTTTTACCCGCTCGGCTTGTTTGGCATAAGTTTCAAAATAGACCGGATCGTTGTTTAATTTAGACTTCCGAAAGAGCTTTTCTTTTTTCTTAATTTCATTTTTAATGTTTTTATTAATCCATGGCTGGTCATTTGCCCTGGTAGTAAAGGTTTTCTGTGGAATATTTTTGGAGAAAATATCATATATTTCATTTGTAAAATTTTCAGTAGTCAAATTTATATTTTCATTGTTATTAAAGAAAGTGTTGGTCAAATCAATGTTACTAATGTTTGAATTAATTTCATCTAGATCACCTTGGTCATAATTCCAGATTATCTTTTTAGTCAAATGTTTTTTATCTAGTTTAAGTGGAAGGGTAGTCAAAATAGTTGAGTGATCGGTGTTTCCAACAGGGTCAGTAACTGATATTTCTTTAACAAGAAATGGTTTATTTGTAATTGAGAGATCAATACAAGTTCTTGAGTTCCTAGTAATTCTTGTTGGTTCTTTGACTAATTGTACCAGATTTAGGTCACTAAAAATAGCATCTAATTTTGTTCCTCTACAGTCCGTTATACCTTCATTCCACCATTTTTTGTTTTTACAGTTGAAATCTCCATTTATTGTTAAATAATCACATTTGAATTTAGAAGCAAGTTGCAGATTTTCTCTTATCTCATCAAAATAAATCGATTCTTGGACAGCATTCATGCTAGGGGACCGATAGTGCACCCCATATAAGACAGATGTGTTTTTATATTTAATATTAACCCACAGGCTATTAGCAGTGTTCAGTTCTGGCTTTGGAATACAGATAAGGTCATTTTTAACGTAGATCATAAGGCCCCTACCCCCTGGATGGTACAAGGGAGTGTGGTAATTTGGGATTGTATACTTGTCAGAAATAGATTTTTGATTTAGATTTCCAGCTTCACACAAGCCAGCTACTGAGATGTTGGTTTGCCTTAATCTAAGTTTAAGTGTTTCAAACCTGGTACCTTCATTACTTCCAATACTGTTGATATTGGAGAAGAGAAATTTCATGTCACATTGAGCTGTCGTTTCAGGACCAGGATTTGTTTCAACATCACCAGCTTGTAGCTTGTATATTGTAGGTGAAAGAGATGGTGCACGGATAAGTGAGACAGAGGCACAGTCCCTGCTGACTGAATCCAAGCAAACCAACAGTTTACTAGACAATAAGATAAGTACACTACAAGGTCAACTGAACATTGCTACACATGGCAGAGATGAACTACAAGAGAAACTTGAAGCTGCTGAAAGCACAATAGAAACATTGAACCATCAACTTATTACGCTAGGTAAAGAAATGGGATGAGCATTATAAATACCTATTCAAATAATGGGGAATTATTAAGTTAAATTTTTGTTTGAAGCTATTAATCAATTCGAATCATAAAAGCATTATAGTGTATTTTTTGCTCAATGTTAAATCATTTGATGAAGGATTTATCTGTTGTAATAACGCAGATGCGAGTAGGTAGTTACCAGATTCACCACCAGGTGGCTCGTTCGGGTCAGATAGCATGGCGGGTATAGTAGAAAGTTCCCTTTATCTTAAATTACATCTATTTGCGTGGTTCAATTTTCATATAACCCTTATGTATCTAATAGTTATGCAAATTGAAATATGTCCAGTAAAAGAAAATGTTATCTGTCCAATACAAGAAAAGATAATTCACTTTTTGTGATTTTCTAACATGGGGTCTATGGGGAATCAACCCGAACAAGAAGTCACATTTTAAAAAAAAATTAAATTTTCAAAGTTGATAAACAATTTTCGAAACCATTTTTCTAGATGTACATTTAAATGCAGATTTCAAATATGACATCACTTTGACTGAATTTTGAATATTAATGACGTAATTCAAGATTATTTCTACTCGCATGTAGTCTATTGTAATTGTATGAATATTAGAATACTCAGTACACAATAACATATGACCTTATTTATTTGGGCTCCCATTGACATTATTTTTAAAGTTGAGATTTCAAAAATGCATTCAAAAATTGTAGAATATAAACTGTATATCACCCATTTGCAAAATGACTATAAAGAAATCATTTGAGAGTATTATGTAAAATATTTAACCTCTACATATAGGTAATACAGAATCGCTAAGTAGAACCAAAGAGCAGCATGATGCAGTACTGGCCAACTTACAACAACGTTATGACCAAGATACATATACTCTGAGAGAGAAACTAGACACTGCTACTAGAGATATTGAACTCAAGGTATCTCTAGGAAAATAATAGTGTTTTAATAAGACATTTTCTTTTGGCAAACCTTGTGTTAGTACTGGGGTATTTTGTACTATGTGTCTATTTTTTATGTACATGGACTGTACATCATCTGGTACTAGGAGCTTTTTAATATGGAATCATAAAAGAGTAGTTATTAGTGAGGGATTTCAGTTAGCAAATAAAACTTGTGTTAGTAATGTTATTCTAAATGACACTGTTATTAAAATATTGTGCTTTTAATCTCGGGAATAACAAGTTTTGAACATGCTTTCCTGAACATCTAATATACATGTACTTTTCTTTCATATGTCACTGTATGATATTCTCTATGTGTACTAGGATGATGAAATCAACATGCTTAGACGTGAGATCTCTGATGTCACAAAGGTAACAGATGAAAATCGTGTCGATCATGCTGAGACGATTAATAGGCTGACTAGATCACTAGAGGAAAGCCAGAAACAATGTAGAACTCTACTCGAGTCAGGTACAAGCAAAACAAAAGTACTGCTATCATTATAAAAGTAATGCTATAATTACAATGGGTTAATTACATTACATTCTGTTTGTTAACAATAATCATATAACCCACTCGGATGATTTTGAGAATACATATTGTAAATACATACCATTGCAATAAAGGAAATATCTTGAGCTTCATTCGAAAGAATTAATTTTCATAAAGCCCTCCACATAGGGAAATTTACATATCTTTCATAACATTGTTCAATTGTAAACTTATTTGACTTTATTATGTTACAGATAGCAGTCAGAGTAATGCAGAGCTGAAGCAACAGCTAAAGCAACTTGAGTCTGCTAAGGCAATTTCTGACACTGTCTACAAGGATCTCCAGGTAAACATTTCAGATAACTATTGTTGGAGCATTTGTAAAAATAGTTGAACTCAGAGAAAATTGTGATATTTTTGATTCTCATTATGTCAATAAAACTATTTATGAACAGAAATAAATTGAACCAAAAGACTTTTATTTTTATTTTTTTTTATTTTTTATTTTATCTGACCCGTTATGTTGTAGGAGGAAGTGAGTGACCTGAAGGAGCAGTTGACAATGTATGAGTCTGTATCACAGTTTGGTTTGATGCAAACAACCAGTTGTTCTGATCCCTCAGATTCTTTCTCACATCTCAACATTAAAAAGACTCTTGATTGGAAAACACCAAGAGTATACAAGTAAGGGCATTAGTATTGCTTTGAGTATACAAGTAAGTGCATTAGTATTGCTTTGAGTATACAAGTAACTGCATTAGTATTGCTTTGAGTATACAAGTAAGTGCATTAGTATTGCTTTGAGTATACAAGTTAGTGCATTAGTATTGCTTTGAGTATACAAGTAAGTGCATTAGTATTGCTTTGAGTATACAAGTTAGTGCATTAGTATTGCTTTGAGTATACAAGTAAGTGCATTAGTATTGCTTTGAGTATACAAGTTAGTGCATTAGTATTGCTTTGAGTATACAAGTAAGTGCATTAGTATTGCTTTGAGTATACAAGTAAGTGCATTAGTATTACTTTGAGTATACAAGTAAGTGCATTAGTATTGCTTTGAGTATACAAGTAAGTGCATTAGTATTACTTTGAGTATACAAGTAAGTGCATTAGTATTGCTTTGAGTATACGAGTAACTGCATTAGTATTGCTTTGAGTAAACAAGTAAGTGCATTAGTATTGCTTTGAGTAAACAAGTAAGGGCATTAGTATTGCTTTGAGTTAACAAGTAAGTGCATTAGTATTGCTTTGAGTAAACAAGTGCATTAGTATTGCTTTGAGTATACAAGTAACTGCATTAGTATTGTTTTGAGTATACAAGTAAGTGGATTAGAATTGCTTTGAGTAAACAAGTAAGTGGATTAGAATTGCTTTGAGTAAACAAGTAAGTGCATTAGTATTGCTTTGAGTATACAAGTTAGTGCATTAGTATTGCTTTGAGTAAATAAGTAAGTGCATTAGTATTACTTTGAGTATACAAGTAAGTGCATTAGTATTGCTTTGAGTATACAAGTTAGTGCATTAGTATTGCTTTGAGTATACAAGTAAGTGCATTAGTATTGCTTTGAGTATACAAGTAAGTGCATTAGTATTACTTTGAGTATACAAGTAAGTGCATTAGTATTGCTTTGAGTATACGAGTAACTGCATTAGTATTGCTTTGAGTAAACAAGTAAGTGCATTAGTATTGCTTTGAGTAAACAAGTAAGGGCATTAGTATTGCTTTGAGTTAACAAGTAAGTGCATTAGTATTGCTTTGAGTAAACAAGTGCATTAGTATTGCTTTGAGTATACAAGTAACTGCATTAGTATTGTTTTGAGTATACAAGTAAGTGGATTAGAATTGCTTTGAGTAAACAAGTAAGTGCATTAGTATTGCTTTGAGTATACAAGTAAGTGCATTAGTATTGCTTTGAGTAAACAAGTAAGTGCATTAGTATTGCTTTGAGTATACAAGTAAGTGCATTAGTATTGCTTTGAGTAAACAAGTAAGTGCATTAGTATTGCTTATTGCTTTGAGTAAACAAGTAAGTGCATTAGTATTGCTTTGAGTATACAAGTAAGTGCATTAGTATTGCTTATTGCTTTGAGTAAACAAGTAAGTGCATTAGTATTGCTTTGAGTAAACAAGTAAGTGCATTAGTATAGTATTGCAACAAGTCTCTGTTTTCTCCTCAGGATTGAAGCAAAATGTATGCATTATAAAATAATCAATGATCTATTAAGGTAGACCCACTTGATGAGAAATTACATATTGTGCAAGGAAACATTGTGTAAAATCAAAATTTATCACTTTTTGCAGAAGTTTTTTTGTAACCAGTTCAGAATTTAAAAATTAAATTACATTCAAATAGAAACCTATTCCCAACCAAAATTGAGATTTTCAAAAATATTGATACTTTTACAGAATTCTTCAGATTTTGAAACCTGCATCCATATGGAAAAATCACTTCAAAGATTGTTTAATATAAATCCTAATTCATTTGTTGAATGTACTCTCAGTTATCTTCTTCATTGTAGAGGCAACAAGGAGAAGGGTGACAGCAATGATACGATTACTCAGGGTGAAACAATACTCAATCTGAAGACAGAACTGGAGAAATGTTTGGCTAATTATAGGGAGAAACGTCAACAGGTAATAAATACTTGACTTTGATCTATGTCACATGTTTGCTTACTCTAGGTATAGTATCTATCATATTCCTAGATTTAAATTGTCCTCTGCAGATAGCAAATCACATTTTAAAAATATTCTGTAATTTTAATCATTTAAAATGAATTATTCTGTGTAAGGTTATTAATTTTAATCATTTAAAATGAATTATTCTGTGTAAGGCTATTAATTTTAATCATTTAAAATGAATTATTCTGTGTGAGATTAGTATTGTATTTCTTTGTGGTTTTCAAACATCTTTGTTAGAATCTGTTTAGTCCTTTGGACATTTTCATGATAGCATCCAGGCTCTTTACCATAGGTATCTCTCTTTTTATTGATCAACTGAATCAGCCCTCTTCATAATTGAATAGAGGGCAACAGAAATCTATGTATTAAGAGGATGTGTAATGATAGACTAAACTACAACTCAGCTGTCATACAATAATTAATTACAGGTGACAAGACTACAGAATGAGTTGAAAGACATGAAACAAAGCTGCACTGATCACCAGGCAACCAAAGAGAAACTTGAAAATCAACTCGGAATAACAAAGGTAAAGATGGTAAATTGTTAAGTTTAACTAAAAATTCAAATGTCTATTCAAAATGAGAATGTTCAAATAAAGACCACACTCTAAATATCCAAATATCTAAATTTACAGATTCATTTTTAACAATGTTGATATGTTTATAGGATACCCTGCATAGATTAGAAGCCAAGGTGGAATTCCTTCAGGAGACCAATCAGGGAGGACAAGATGGCCAAAGACGGGGACATCCAACACTTACTGAAAAAAACCTACAAAGAACACTTGATGCTGCAAACAGAGAAATAGAAAGCTTAACTCAAGAGAATATGGTAGGTTTTGAAATTTTAATTTTTGTAATCATCATGACTTTTTGTTGACTTGAAGGAGTCTTAATTTTTGGATCAAAGTATTAATTCTCGACTTTTCTTCTTCTTAGTATGTATCTGTTAACTCAGGTTACTGTACTAAATAATGCTTTCTGTGATAATTTTATCTGACTTTGTATATCTTTTTTTATTCTGTCTTGTAGGAGTTGAAGAATAGGATTGATGAGTTATCAGAGACAGAGCGCCATCTATGTGAGCTTAACCAGGAACTAAACCAGCGTATGTCAGAACAGGTTCATGAGCTGGATCAAGAGAAATGTTTGGCGATCGAAAGGTTTGTCAGCTTTTGGAAAGCAAACAGTAGTATACAGAACTGAGTCCAGACTATTGAAATATTTAATTTGATAATAATGATTTGCCTTTATATTAGAACTTTACCCTTCCATTAATTTAACAAGATAACAATCTTTTATATAATAGAAATTGTTATTTGGATAAATTAATATTTGCACCAGTTATGTTAATAAACTTTTTCCTTGAAGAAATAGGGCATATATTGACTCCAACAGGTCTGTTGAAACTATCATATAGCAGAGCAATCATATGCATCAGGGTAACAATAACAGAACTTTCTAAGCTATAATAGGCTGGGGTATTCTCAAGTTTCCAAAGTTTTCTGATAAATAATCCCCTTGTATAATTTCAGATGTAGGGAAGCATGTTTACAGCTGCATGAAGACTCAAAACTGCTGCTTAGACAGGAACTTGAACATGAAACTCAACAGAATGTAGAATCAATAAAGTAAGGATGCTGTAGAATTTTCTAGAAATGTTCATTTCATATGAAATATACATATTCATTTATTTTTTTAAATTTAAATTAGGTAGTGAGACCTTAAAAGTGGAGCTTTGCTTTGTTCAACAATTGAGCAATACTTGTTTATCCATTGAGTAATAGGACCTACAGACATTAATCTGGAGGTTTGCTTTGTTATACAATTTGCATGTTTGTTTCCAGGGCTGAGCTAGAACGATGCCAGTCTGAGTTGAAAGAGACTAAGGATCTTTACGTACAGGTCTGCCAGGAGAAAGATGACATACAAGACCAAATGGAGACTGCTAAACAGGAAGAAATTGATCTGGTACATGTTATGTGCTTTGCAACTTATACCCAACCAGTGGGAATTATATTAAGATCTTGTTCCCCCCCCCCTTCACCACATCATCCTTAACTTGAAATACAGTAGTCTGCTGTTATTTTCACCTCTTTAAGTGTATATTCGAATTCCAACAAAACTCCCCAATGGAAATCAATAAAAAGGAAATTCGCTTTTCCTTTTAGTTTTAGTCTCGGGGAATTCAAGTTTTTTCAGAAGCGATGTCGTTTAATTCTCTGAATTAAAGAATTTATCTGACATCACTTTGTTAACCCCTCTATGTGACCTCATTTCATTTTGTACACACATCAGAAAAGTTATAATGTAAATTACCTTTGTAGCTTAAAGCTGGACTAGACAAAGAGAAAGAAAATGCCTTGGATGACCTCAGGAAATCTTTAGACACCAAACTCTCAGTACAAATAGAAACTGATAGGAAAAACAGGAAAAAAGAGCACGAGGAGACCTTTCAGAAAGAACTTGACGCAAAGGTATGCTCATCATCTAATAATATAAATTTTAATGTGACATATATTGTTAAGGGTATATAACACATGGCTTCAATAGCCTAGCCATAGTAAATTGTTTAAGACATCTGGATTTTATGATTCATAATTATCTGTTCACTGAAATATGTACAAAAATATAAGTTACTTTTTTGGATATGAAATTGTATTTTACAGATTGCAGTAGCTAAAGTTGAATGGTTTGAGGCGCACAAACTATCCAAGCAACAAGCTGTAGACACTGTACTAAAGAACTCTGAGAAGTCCTATAGGGCTAGAATGGAGAAAGATGTCGCAGCTAAAGTAGAACAGGCTTTGGCTGAAGGTAGAAAAACATATCCAATGAAACTGTTTCATTGGGTTGTACATTTCTTAATTCTAGTTTATAATGCAGATGCTTGTAATTGTTGAAGGCTGTCCTAGGAGTCCTAAATAAAGAAAATGTGTCCTTAATAGTAAATACCATGCAGCACTTATCTCATAGGACTTCTGGGGGAACTCTTGTAGTTGTTCTGGTAAATAAGCATGCAGTGCACAGTGTGTTAAAATCATATATGTGGCAGTGTTTGGATAATTACATAATAGGTATAATATAAGGTATACAGGGTGTCAAATGGCATTGTGCCCCTCCCACCACCACAGCATAAACTAGGAGAAGTACCTATACATTCTTTTGAAATGTCATCTTGAGGGAAAGACACTGCTGCAGGTCTTTTCCATGCCCTTTTAACTTCATATCCAGCTAGACTGGCAGCCATCTTAGGCTGCCTATGATGCATGCATACTCACTTTTAAAAGTTAGTTCAAAATACATGTATGTCATATTTTCTTTCATGCTTCTTCATCTTTTCACACTTAAACAACAATTAAATGCTCTTTCCAATGGTATATAGTATGTAAGTGTACCTCTCCTAGTTTATGCTGTGGAAAGGGGGCACAACACCATTTGACACCCTGTACATGCTCTTGGAATTCTGAAGTTTGAAATTCCAGTCTGTCCTATATATGAGACTCATTCCCTTAAGACGATTATTATTTTACCTTACAGCCAAGGACAATTGGTTGAAAGAGGTATTACTTGAAAAAGTACAAGAAGAGAAAGTGAAATGGACAAATAATGATCTAAAGAAGATGCTTGAGGATGAGAGGACCAAATGGAACAACAATGAATTCAAGAAATTATTAGATGAGGAGAAAATGAAATGGAACAATACAGAACTCAATGAAAAACTAAGAGAAGAGAAAACAAAATGGATTAATGATGAATTGAAAACTAACATTGAACTAGAACGAATTAAATGGAATAATACTGTGCTCAAAACTAGAATAGAGCTAGAGCGGACCAAATGGGTTGATAATGAACTTAAACCTCTGCTCAAAGAAGAAAAATTGAAATGGAACACTACTGAACTTGTTGAGAAATTAGAGCAAGAGAAAATAAAATGGAAGGAAAGTGAATTGGTGAAAATCCAGGAACAGAATGAAGAGAAATTAAACAATGAAATTAAACAAAAATTGTTTCAAGAAAAAATAAAATGGACAAATACAGACTTGGTTAAACGAATAGAAGAAGAGAAAATAAAATGGACAAATACAGACTTGGTTAAACGAATAGAGGAAGAGAAAATAAAGTGGACAAAAACAGATTTAGTCCAAAGAATAGAAGAAGAGAAAATAAAATGGACAAATAATGAAAAACAAATCATTTTTGATGAAAACAATAAATGGCTTCAAAAGGAATTGAACCAAAAACTTGAATCTGAAAAGAGAAAGTGGACAAATAGTGAATTAGAGACAATAGTTGACAAGGAAAAGTCAAAATGGATGGATAATGAAATCAGAAAACTTCAAGGAGACAACCTGAAATGGTTAAACAATGAATTAAAACAACAACTTGAAGAAGAAAAGAAAAAGTGGAAAAGTATTGAATTGAAAAAAATACTCGAAGAAGAAAGAGTGAAATGGGCTAAGTTACAAAAAACATCAACTGAGAACCATAGATCTACAGAGGTGAGTATTGCTCAATTTTTATAGGTTTGGTGGATCATGGAAACATATCACTTACACAATCAATTAAATACTATTCAAAGCCTCTTTTGTGTGAACACCTAAGTGATAAAATAACTCATGTAGAAAATACCATTAGAATAACACTTTCTTTCGAAATGTATTTTAAAGTGAATGTTTTGCGATATTTACTGTAGGGAATTTCTAGCTCATGTTAATGATTAGCTCCAATAGGGGAAAAAGGGTAATGCAATAAGCCAATTATGTCAATGGAATATCTCCCCTTTTTGAAATTGATGCATTTCTCAAATACACTTCAGTGTTCTCCCCAAAAAAAATTTTCAACTGGGTGCAAGATTTCAAGTCTGAAAAAATCAGCACTCGCTACACTCACAATATCTCAGTGTAGGTGCTTGCTTCACTCATTTTTTAAATCAGAAGTTGAAGTGCAGATGCCAACTGGGTACCAACTGGAGGGCCTTTGGTTTCAAGTAGGGGGAGCCCCCGGTAAAAGTGACATGGGGAGATCACTGCACTTTCTGTGTCAATTCGAGAAAACATGATTATTAAAACGAATTTCTCAAAATATATATTTTACTTTTACAATAAAATTCATTTGAAATTGTGAATTATATGTTATTTGTCTCGCTGAAGACATAGGAAAAGTCTAGTGTTTATGACATACTGTATAAGTGGTATTTAATCCGAGTGGTTAATTTTCCGAATGGTCAAATTTCATCATTTTCCTAATTTTAATTTTCCTAATGACAAGAAACCTCCCATTGGATAACATTATAAAGACAATATGTCCGACATTTAATTTTCCGAACCTGGCAAAAATTAGGAAATAGGCAAATTAAATGATTAGGCAAAATTACCACTTATACAGTATCTTCATAGATGCTTCTTTGAAGGAATAATAATAATTATCCTTTCCTGGAACCAGACTTTGAGGCCAGTTTTTCCAAGTTATACATTGTGCAAAGGTACACTGTGGTTTAAAGTTGTAGTCACCAAACAGGTTTGAATTATGACATTTACTGTCCCACCAGGCACCTTTATATCGGGTCCCACAGTTGCCAGGTCCCCATATATCATTATCTTGATCATAAGTCGTAAACCTCATGTTATTTTGCCATGCCATGCTATCTTGTACAGTTCCGCTATATCCCCCAATTGTAAGGCGGTATTTATCACTTTCATTAGCTACTTTGAAAGTTGTATATTCAGCATATCCTTTGGATGGATTTGTATTTGTCTCAGGCCATGTTGCCAAATCAATTCGAGCTTTATATCCTCTTTGTTTCACCAAACTTGCGAGGTTATCAAGACCGATGAAGTGCTCACAATTTGTTTTCCCAAAGCCTTTTTTATAATCAGCCCATGGGAGATAAAAATTAACACTCCCATCAAAACGCTTGAATATGTAAGTCCACCCCTGCTCGCAATAAACACTAAAGATTCTTCCTTCTTCAGTTTTGATGGTTTTTACTCCAGTGTAAAATGGAACATCATTGCAGTCTGTAATCACTACAACACAAATAAATTATTATATTCAAAAGTTTTAGAAAAAAAATAGTGTAAAATATTTTCAAACTTTGCACTTGTAGTCCCAGTATATGAAAGTATGTTATGGGAAATTTTAAATGATTGGAGTAGAATTAAAGAAATGCCATCGCCATTCAACAGCCTGGATTTATTTTCTTCATCTGACCAAACTTTGAAAATTGTACAATGATAGCTCAAATTCAGTAATTGAAAATTCAACTTTATCTTGGTTATTTTAGATTAGAATTTGTATATTTCTTGCAGAATTTACTAGATTTCACTCACTTTGTAGTACTGAAGCAGAATTTTATGAAAAAATGATTTCCAGATCAACTCTTTATTGTGTTGATACATATGTAATATTAACTCTTCACTTACTGTCTTCACCTTTACAAGCACTGATAATCTCTTCTTTCATTTTAGACAGCTCCCTGGAGAATCTTACAACAGCATCTTTGGTACAAAGCTCATCTGCTGATATGGCAGCGAGCCATGCAAAAATTATCATCAAACCTTTCATCTTTGTATATCAGTTAAAACGAATCTGAATAATTATCCCACCGAACGAAGTTCGAGGGGGATATAGAAAAGCCGTTCGTCCGTCCGTTCGTCCGTCCGTTCGTCCGTCCGTCCGTTCATCCGTCCGTCCGTTCGTCCGTCCGTTCGTGTGTCCCAGCAATAACTCAAATACCGGTTGACGGATTTCATTCAAATTTTGTAGGCTTATGCCTTATGGGTGTAGGACCTCTGCTCGAGAAGGAATTTTCAATATGGCCACTTAATTAAAAATGGCGGCCATTTTTCGGAAAAAATATAATCTTTAATAACTCAAATACTAGTGGATGAATTTGGTTCAAATTTTATATGCTGTTGCCTTGGTACAAAGGAGCCTTGCTCAAGAAGACATTTTCAAGATGGCCACCAAATTTCAAAATGGTGGCCATTTTTCGTAAAAAAACGTTATCTTTGATAACTCAAAGACCATTGAATGGATTTGGTTCAAATTTTAGATGCTGATGCCTAGGGACATAGGAGCTCTGCTCGAGAAAGGATTTTCAAGATGGCAGCTAAATTTCAAAATGGCGGCAATTTTTCGTAAAAAAACGTTATCTTTGATAACTCAAATACCATTGAATGTATTAGGTTTAAATTTTAGATGCTGATGCCTTAAGGGACATAGGAGCTCTGCTCAAGAAGGGATTTTCAAGATGGCAGCTAAATTTCAAAATGGCGGCCATTTTTTATAAAAAAACATTATCTTTGATAACTCAATTACCATTGAATGGATTTGGTTCAAATTTTACATGATGATGCCTAGGGACATAGGAGCTCTGCTCGAGAAGGGATTTTCAAGGTGGTAGCTAAATTTCAAAATGGCCACCATTTTTTTTTGATAACTCAAATACCAGTTGACGGATTTATTTTCAAATTCTATATGCTGATGCCTAGAGACAAAGAATAAATTAGTGGATGGATTTGGTTCCAATTTTATATGCTGATGTTTAGGGGAAAAGGAGATCTGCTTCAGAAGAAATTTCAAAGGCAATAGCTGAATTTCAAAATGGCTGCCATTTTTCATTAAAAAAGTAATCTTTGATAACCCAGATACCATTGGACGAACATTCTCTGCTAAAGAAGAAATCTAAAGATGACAGCTGAATTTCAAAATGGCAACCATGTTTCATAAAGACATAATCTTTGATAATTCAAATACCAGTGGATGAATTTGGCTCAATTTTTTTATCAAAACATGTTTTGTTCGGTGGGATTTGCTACTCCGTGGAGTTGCTGTTTTTCTAGTTACTATGGAGTTGTATTTCATATACCATCAGACAAATCATGAATTGATTAAGATCTGCTTGACTTATCCAATTTTGAAACTTAGTTGCAAAACGAAATGTTGCAAGTACGTTTCAAAATTGGATAAGTCAAGCAGATCTTAATCAATTCATATCATTACTATCCAGATGAACATATTCAATAACATGAATTTCATGGTTTTTGTCGTGGTCATACAATACATAGGATTCTATGATTTGTATTTCTAATAATTATTCGAACAATGTATTTGTCATGTTTCATTGTGGCTAAACATAAAATGATTCAAATTTACTATTGGATACATTAGCCATGATCTGATGGCAAACACTGAAATACCAATACAATGAAATATCAATATACAGATATAATAATCCAGATGCAAATATGTCCCGTAAAAGAAAATATTATCTGTCAAATACAAGAAAAGATATTTCACTTTTTGTGACTTTACAACAACGAATGTGTCTATGGGGAATTTCAAGGTTTTCTAAGCCACATTCCCAGATGTAATTTTACATGTAGACATGTAGACATGTATACTGAATCATTTTATCTTAGCGGATCTTTCCTTCAACCCTTGCTACCTACAAACATGCATCCTCCTTTTTTGTTATGTCCCCACCACATAGTGTGGGGCCATATTGTCGGCCTAGGCACGTCCGTCTGTCTGTCCGTACGTCCGTCCGTCCGTCCGTCTGTCCGTCCGTCTGTCCGTACGTCCGGGAGTTTTCTCCAAAACCGCTACAGATATCACCTTCAAATTTTCAGGGATAACTTATGAGTGCATACAGATGTGGATTCAAATTTTTTAACTCGATACCTACTTCCTGTCTGCCATTTTGAAGTCAAATGCTAAAATCCTTGTCTGCAAACTTTAAGAAAAACGGCTTCACAGTTGCTTTTAAAACTTTAACATCTTGTTCAGCTCACTTCATTCTAGATCTGATTAGGTTTTTGACCTGTTAGCTCAGTCATGTCAGCCGTTTTGAATGTCTTAAGAAAAGTTAGCGCACGATAATACTTTGTATCATATTGAATGGTCTTTTTGAGTTTTCATACTTTAACTATTTAAAGTATGTGAAGTCTTGTCTACGTGTTTTCAGGTGAACCGTTTGGTAGATCAATTTCAAATTTTCAGGGATGATTCTTAGTATAAAAATCTAGATCTGATTTGTTTTTTGGCATTCTGGGTAAATGTCAAGGCAGCCATTTGGATTTTCCGTCCTAAAATCTTGTCTGTAAAGTCTTGTCTGTAAAGTCTTGTCTACGCGTTTTCAGGTGAACCGTTTGGTAGATCAATTTCAAATTTTCAGAGATGATTCTTAGTATGAAAATGTAGAACTGATTAGTTTTTTGGCATTCTGGGTAAATGTCAAGGCAGCCATTTTGGATTTTCCGTCATAAAATCTTGTCTGTAGAGTCTTGTCTATGCATTTCCGGGTGAACCGTTCTGTAGATCAATTTCAAATTTTTAGGGATGATTCTTAGTATGTAAATGTAGATCTGATTAGTTTTTTGGCATTCTGGATAAATGTCAAGGCAGCCATTTTGGATTTTCCGTCTTAAAATCTTGCCCGTAAAGTTTTGTCTACGCATTTTTAGGTGAACTGTGTGGTTGGTCAATTTCAAATTTTCAGGGATGATTCTTAGTGTGAAAATCTACATCTGATTAGTTTTTTGGCATTCTGTGTAAATGTCATGGCAGCCATTTTGGATTTTCTGTCCTAAAATCTTGTCTGTAAAGTCTTAATTTGTCTACGCGTTTTCAGGTGAACCATTTGGCTGTTTGGTAGATCAATGTCATATTTTCAGGGATGATTCTTAGTATGAAAATCTAGGAACAGATTAGTTTTTTGACATTCTGTGTAAATGTCAAGGCAGCCATTTTGGATTTTCCATCCTAAAATCTTGTCTGTAAAGTCTTGTTTACATGTTTTCTAGTTAACTGTGTGATGGATCAATTAAAAATTTTCAGGGGTGGTTCTTAGTTTGAAAATCTAGAATTGACTAAATTTTGGGCTTTCTGGGTAAATTTAAAGGTGGCCATTTTGGATTTTCCGTCCTCAAATTCAGGATAACCATTTGATGGGATCACCCATTGGTGGGGACATTTTGTACACATTTGTGTTCTTGTTTGGAAATGCGTATATGATGTCAAAGCACATAATCTAACAAGTAGACACTTTTACTATATATGTAATTGTTTCCCAAAAGGAAAATTGTCTGGGCTAGGAAAGATCTTTTGTTCAGACCCTCCTAGTTTACATTGGTTAACAAAATTTCATTAAATCATTTAAATGTGAGGACATATTGCACATTAACGCTTGAACTGATGATTATGCTAATATTTCCAGATTGATTCGCTACATAAAGAGAACCGACAACTGCAGCACAAACTGCGCAAGTTTGGTGACCTATGGTCTAAAGAAAAGCAGAAAATAATCCAAGAGAAGGATGACGAGCGTAAAAGACAAATAGCTGACATACAGGAACAGTGTGAATCTGACCTGAAGAAGTTCCTAGCCGAACACCAACATACTTTGGATACAGCTCTAAAGTCAACAAGAGACCAGGCTTCTAAAGAAAAGGTAATGGGGGGTTGCTTTAGCATTACAGATAAAGGTGACCCGTATATCATACTTGCTTTAACATTATAGACCTTCGTATTATACTCAAGCATTTTAGGTAATTTGAGATATCATGGTTTTGCTTTATGTGATTTGTAGAGTGAATTAATGAGACTACACGAGGAGGAGGTTAAATGGCTGAGGGCAAGAGAGAAGAAATCTGTTGAGAACACCAAGTGTCAACAGACAAATAATGAACAGAATAATGTGAGTTTCTTGTCTGACATTAATGGAGTATTGCAATGATTTACTTTAAATATTTCAGGCTGCTTAGTTATACATGTAATAGCTTAGTGGAATTGTCAATAAGTTTGAGGAAAAGATTCCCTGTAAAATATCAAAATGGCTCTCACTTCTAACCTTATTGCCATATGATTTGAAAAATTGTCGCCAAGTCTAGAATTCAATATTGATCTTGACACCAAGTGATTCAAGTACAGTTATAAATATGTCACATTGTCATACTGTTATGGGAGGTCTTTGATATTGATATAGGAAATGTACTGAAGTATTACCTGAGTTACACCTTTGTTATTCTCCCTGACAATTGCCAAAGTATGTGATAAATAGCTATGTAAGATATTTATTTTCGCAATGTATTTTTATCATCTAGGGGAGAGATGTGGATGTAGTTCTTGGACAAATGAAAGACTTCTATATTGAAACTGTTAAAAAGATCAAAAGTAAGCACAATATTTATTACTATCAATCAATATGAGCTAAACACGCAGATTCTGGGCTAGAGTCAGTTTATACTAGCTGTCAGTGTATATTATGCAACAATTCAAGGTTCAGATCCATTTGCTTTGTAACTTATGATTTGTAGATTTTAATTGAACAGGTTAACTGACACATTTATAAAATTGCAGAAAAATTGTAATTGCATCTTTTTGCCTGTTGAGTTCCTTGCCTGATGTACTAGTAGAGACATCTATTCCTGTCTTGCACTTGCAGGTGATGTTCTCTCCCATGTGGCAAGCAGTAATGCTAGAGCTACTGAGCGAATCAAAACTGAAATTAGAAGACACCGTGATATGTCAAGAGGGCCAAGTACTGTAAATAGAGACCATAAATTGCCACTGACAAGTCAAAACCTTGAAAGAGTTTCAAATAATTTATTAACTAGGAAAGAAGGTGAAAGGCCTTCAAATGAAAGAGGGCACGAAAGACTTTCAAATGATAGAGGGCATGAAAGACTTTCAAATGATAGAGGGCATGAACAACTGCCAAATGACAGAGGGCACGAAAGGCTATCAAATGACAGAGGGTATGAAAGACTTTCAAATGATAGAGGGCATGAAAGACTTTCAAATGATAGAGGGCCTGAAAGACTATCAAATGACAGAGGATGTGAAAGGCTGCCTCATGACAGAGGCAGATGTCATGATAGGTTCAGAAACAGAGGTCAAGAAAAGTCACTAATGGAAAGGGATTCTGAAAGATTATCACCAAATCCAGACCGTGAACATTTTCCTCAATACAAAAATCATGAACATTCATCAAGGGGAAGAGACTATGAATCCATGCCAAAAGACAGAAATAATGGAAAGATATTGAGAGATCAAAGTCATCATAGATCCTCTTCCTCTTTGGATAAAATTTCTCATGCATCAACAGATAGAGGTCATCATAGAACATCATCATCAATGGGAAGAAATTCTAGTACATCATCAGTGTCAGTTGATAGAGGTCACGAAAGGTCATTGCCAGACAGAGGTCATCGTAGGTTATCTTCCTCATCATCAGATGTGTCAGACATAAGTGCCAACATAACTATGCGTGGAAGGACAGGACACAACGGGGTAAGAAACAAGATATCAGTTTTCAGACATCCTCTTAAACATAGCTGAATTCAAAATGAGAACTGTGATAAATCTTTAGATTAGCGTATTAAGATTTGCTCAATTTTAGACATTCATTAAATTAATATTTACTTTTTTACATGTTCACGTTTAATACAACCAATAATCTATTCATTTAAGCTTGATTTTCCTGTTTTTGCACTGTATTATCAATCATTTCCAATTTTCTGTATTCCAGCCAAGATGACCCTCAGATGTGCCATACTTCTAACAATGCTATTCGCTGTTGGTGCTATAGAAATCCCACTAATCTCATCTGGTATCCATCTCCAATACCCAATCATTCTCACTGTTGGCAGACTTCAAAATAAACAGTTCTTCATGGTCCACGCCAATCACTTTTCACTCTCGGCAATAAACTTGAAACTGGTTACAAATAGGGCATTGGATTGATTGCCTTGCAGGTTGATTGTAGCAATATTGTTTTCAACCTTAGTGAAGAACCCTGTTCTGTCAAGGTAATGGAAGGTCGCATCAAGACTTGATGTATGATTATGGATGAGTGTGTCACCCAGGAATTGTCTGTTTCCTAAACAGATATGAATCAGGAAGACTATCCAATAGGATGATTGGAATTTATGAAATACCTGTTTAAAGTGAACGCCTCTTAGACTGCTGGTTAATAACAGAAACTTAACAAACTTAAGAATTCCTTATATCATTTTTGTGGTACTATGACATCATTATATTCATGGCAACAACAATTAATTGGGAAAATTCAGTTTTATGAAGTAAATGTTAATGACCCCTTGACTAATGATTTAGAGGATGAGGTATTCACATTAACATGTCCTCATAACATAAGACATCAGGGGATGTCAAGATTATGGGGCTGAAAAGTGCACTTATTTAGACTTGTGCAAAGTACACATATTGAAGAGAGGCAACAGAGGATAAAGGATGCAAAAACCGGAATTAATCTGTTAACAGTTAATGAACATCTCTTATGTACTTTTTACCCCAATTGTAATATCTGAGATAATCTATCTCACAAATTCAAGATTCAGAATAAAAAAATATAACCAAAATGCTTAAAGGACAACTGAAATAGCTTTTCTCAACTTGCAGCTACAAAAATGTGGTTTTCTCCATTGTAATCCCACAGTAGAGTTCTTGCGATAGCCATTATAAAATAAATGTTAGATAACTGCTAACGATAAATCAAATTGGCCCCCACGTGATTAGTAACGTCATATACAAAATATAGCTTTGGTTTATTGGTTCCATAGTAATCACAACGTCACGGCAACCATAGGATTGTTGTGTAAACAAATAACAAAACATTTTGGCATGATGACGTCATGGTCTAATGGACCAAAACGGGCCACGTGGGGACAAGTGAGAGATCACGTTGGGGCCAATAACGTCACAACCAATTCGAATATTGCTTATTAAGCAGCTATAAAGATCGTTAGAGTGAAATAGTTTTCACACTACTGATAAGAAAACATGTCCAAATACATCTATCAAAAAATTTTATTGATTCCTTTAGGTTAAAAATACCATTTCATATCTGCTTTAAAAATCAAAACATTTTCAGGCAAAACTGGTGTCAGAATTTTATGTTAGAAAGTAATAAGGAATGCTATGAGCAAATATGACAATTTTTCAAAAAGTTTTCCCCAGCTCTTCTTCTATGATTTGTTGCCTCTTTAACCTTGCTTCTTATTGCCCCTCATTGCATGGCTTCCCAACCACTCCATGTACATACATCATTCTAAACTAACTCAGGAATATTTATTGATTGAAGTTCGAAGAAATGCAAATGCATTTATTGAGTGTTCATGATGTTGTAAAAATAAAATGTACTAGTATTTATTAATCCAAAGTGCCATATTATTAATGTTTATGTGATGTACAGACTGCATTAAATGTACAAGACTAGATTATATATATGACTTTGAATGATTTGTTCATGGTTATTTAATACAATGTGTTTAATGTGAAATATTGAAACTCCAATGCTAATGATATGAAATAATTAAGATGTTTTCAAATGTACAGTTTTTCCATATACAGTATGTACTGCATTGTTAGAGAATTCATTAAAAGATGACGATTCAGAAAACAATAAAGAATATTATGTAAAAAGAACAAAATAACTATTATGTATTTTTGTACATTCACACATAGCTAGGCAAGGTGTGTCCGATTCCAGCCAATCCGAACAGAGTATTCACATAATGAACAGTGTGTGAAATATCAATAACACATAAAAGGTCACTAGTTATTAAATAGTTGTCATGGTGATGAATGGATTTTTCACATTGGATTTGATGAGTTGCCAACTTGACCCTTGCAAAAAATTCATTGAGAATGTGTTCTTTTAGTGATTTAGTTCCTTTTAGATATTTTAGAGAAAAAAAAAATTGCAATGCATGAAAAGAATTTAAGCCCAAGACTCAATTCATTGTAGCTGCTTCATTCCACTCAGGTATTGCTTCCTAAACATTGCTGCGCGGTCATGCAAAGGTTTGGAGACAACACCTTCATGGTATGATTCAGCAAACAATGCACTGAGTCCAGGGCTTAAATTCTTTAATATATAATGCTATATGAGCGGTAAGAGAAATGTAACATGCTTATTACAGATATATAATAGGACTTCAAACAGAAGTGAAAGTTACCTGCAAATGATATACCATTGCATGGAGTAGGTAATTTTCTTTGGTATAACGAATCATATGAGTTCGAAAATGAATTTCTCAGTGTTTTATTATGTAATATAACATGCTCCATTATAGCTAACAAATCTCAATCCCAGTCATCCCAACCCATGACAGCTAGAACAAAAAACTAATTAGAATTTAGAACCCATGTCTGGGAACCCATGTCCAGTTATTGTCATAAAAGCTTTGATTCCAAAAAACAAAAAACAGTGCCAAAAGGCAGCATTATGTCACCAATAGTCACACAAACACTTTAGATAAAAACAAGAAGAAAATTCATTGGGTCAATATATGTTCTACTGACTGCAGTAAATGATTCGAATTAAAAATAACTAATTAAAAGATGTCACTACTCTCATCAACTCCGAATTTATCCGGAATTTTCCGATAAATACCGAGGAGGAATCTCCATATTTTATCGCTAGATTTCTTTGTCATTTTTCATCAATTTACAACAAAATACCCAACAAATTGAGTTTTCAAGGCCACAGAAGAATCTTATGGATTACTTAGGTCCAGTGGAATCCACTATTGGATAAATATCACTTCCGAAAAGGACGAACCGATGACCGGAAATTCTACAGAGATAAAAGAATTGTCAGACGATCATTTGTGTTTGTTTTGATAAGGGGTATACGGTCTTTCCATATATTTCCTAAGTGATCTAGGATCATATAACGATGCCTTACATACTCTAGTTGAATTTGGATATAATCAAAAATGGCTGAGAAGCCCAAGACACGGAATAATGATGCAGGGGAAATGCAGTCTCCACTTGGACAAATGTCAAATTCTGGTGAGGTCATTTTACCACCTATTTATGCATGATGTATCTATTTCCATTGAAGTAAATGTGTTTTACCTGTTGCATAAATACAGAATCAACATAACTATTCTTTTATATATTATATATCTACATTTTAAGTGTTCAAATATAGAGTATTGTGTAAAACATTATCTGGCAAGGTGGGCGATAATAGAGTATATTTTTTTCAAATTTTGAATTTTATCACTTCCTTTGGAATTGAGCTATTCATGATAAGTTTAAAGTGATTTATATGTTAAAGCTAAACCCATTAGATAAATTCAGCCATGAAATGCTTCACAATTATAACAGAATGTTTATGAATTCCAATTTGTTAAAATTTGACTTGTTACATGTAACAATCTTTTAGCATGTTACTGTTTGGGGGTTACATTTGGGTCTTCTTACATCTTTGAAAATATAACATAAAAAGAGTCAATACACTTGTATGATGCCAAGACCTTGCAACCGTTGAAGGAATGGTACAGAACAAGTCTGCAACTGTTGAAGGGATGCTGGGGATGGTACCCAAACAAGTCTTTTTAGAATTACATTTAATTATTTATATGTGACGTTCATTTCTTTATGAACAATTCAAACAACAAATATACTGTACTGTTGGTACTATGTGGTACTGTACACCACATTAGAGCTTTTCATTATATGCCATAGGCTTATACTAATATGCATGTCACATTTAGGGTACCTTATATCAATTCTTTATAAAAACACTTGCTTAAGTGCCTGTGTCAACCATTGGAGTATACCATTTAAATCTTCCTATGATTACTACATTCCCATCATTTGGGCATGCCATGGTTACCAAACTGTTTTAAATTTATTAACAATCCTCTATACTAAATGCACAGCTACACAATTCCTAACTTCTTCAACCTTGCGACAGACAGAATTATCTGATTCCAAATTGATAAACATATTGGTACATATATTACTCCTTTGCATCCATGTTATCTCTTCACCATCACTTCTCCCGGGATATAGAATTGGAGGGGTTATAAGGGCTTGAAGTAAGAGACTTACGGCCTTGACAAGGGCTTGAAGCATGAAAGTATGGAGTTTCACAAGGGATTGAAGCAAGAGGAGGGGGTCCATAAAGGCTTTAATCATGCATGGCAAGAGGTAATGCAAGAGGGAGTTGTTTGAAGCAAGACTGGGAGAGGGCCCATAAGAGCTTGGAGCAAGACTATGAGGGACGAAAAGGGCTTGAAGCAATTATTAGGGGATCACAAAGACATACTCCATTTGTGAATGGGATGTTTGAGACTGCAGGAAACTATTTCCAAATTGTATATAAATCATTGTTAAAATTGCATCTATATCTACGTGTTGCTGCATTCCATTCATTTCAATTGACAACAAAAACATTGTTCCAAGTCCAATTAAGGTATGATATGTCAAATAGTTTTTTCTGTAATAACATGATTTAAAACTCATAACAATCCTTCACAGTATCACACCTTTGTACAGAATTATATGTTTTTAACATGTTTCACAATTATAAGTGTTACCAGTGCCAGGCTGACTGCCCTCCTTTTGTTCACATTTTTTCACAAAAGTAATTTTTACTTTCTTAGTTTATAGCACATCCCTTTTCCACCCCTATGCATACTTTCTGAAGTGTTTTGGTCTACATATTTTCAAAAAATAATTTAAGAGTTAAAGATAAGGTATAATCTACCATAACTAATTATTATAAGGTATAACCATCTACCCTGCAAATAGATTAGCCTACGAGACCCACACTCTGCAGATTTCTAGGAATCAGTTAAATCATTCAGTGATGACTTCAGTATT